TTGAAATGGTTCATTGAGTTCAGGGTTAAAGCAGATGCAAAAGTAGTGTTAAATTAAGCCGAACTCAGTGTGCTTTACCAATAAAACATTTTCTTTTGTAACGGATACTGTCTAGCTGTAATTTTTTTTTTTACGATTATTTACAACTAAAACCATGAATTATTGAATTTCAAATTCCTCTAAAATAAAAATTCTGCTAAAAGAGATACCGTTTTCATCGCCAAAATATGCTCCAACAGCGTTTGAGCATACCATACAGTTGTTTAATGCTTATGCACTCTTCGGTTAAAGCGGGCTGAAATAGTGTTTCAAAAATTGATTCTGACGAATCAATTTTTTAGTCAATGTTTCACTGAGAATCAATAGAAAGTTCTTGTATAAAATTAATAAAAAATTTAAGCATAGAAGAAAATAATAAAAATTTTAAGTTTCGCAAAGTTTTCTGAGTGTAGTATCAATCTTTTGTAACTAACTACGAAGTGAAAATATACAGAATGAAATGACATTATATATAACAGATTTATGTAAGCAAAACACTGCATCGAAGTAAGTGGTACTAGTTAGAACTTTAGTGTTGGTAGGTATCAATCAAATTACTATTTTTATTTTTCATTTATTGTTATTTATTATATTTACTAGCTGTTCCCCGCGACTTCGCCCGCGTGTAATTTAGGATTTTAATTATGTTGCGTGGAACCCTAATTGTTTTTCTAAAATATAAATAAGTGGCCTAAGTTACTCCTTATAACATCAGCTATCTGGCAGTGAAAGTCCCGTCGAAATTGGTCCAGCCGTTTCGGAGATTAGCCGGAACAAACAGACAGATAAAAATTTTAAAAATAGTGTTTTTGTTATAAGTACCGTATATACTTTCATATGAATTTAGTAAAAAGCTGGTATTTTGACATTATAAATAGACACTTCAATTTTATTTTTTTGTATAGATACAAAGATTTGTTTACTTACCGCATTTGTGTTTTTATATTTTAAAAATAAAACAATTATCTGGTTTTAAGAGGGCTGTGAAGCTGTAAATGTTCATACAAAAAGCGATAACGTTCTCCCCCGTAGACACAGTTTAATTTTTATAGTGTTTGGAAATGTGGTAGATATAATGAAAAACTAGGTCCGTACGTTTATTATTTTAAAGAAATATTGCGTAGGATATCGGTAAGTTATAAGCATCTAAATATCTATATTCTTGACTCAAAAATTTCGTCGAACTTTTTTTTTTAATTAACCAAACTGAATTACTAAAAATAAAAACGTACAGACCTAGATTAAGGTGTACTGAATCTAATGAAACCAAAATTTTTTCATTTCGTACAGGTTTAGGGGGGTAAAAACATTATCAACTGAAACAATATTTTAAAAAGGAAGTGTAGGCAATTGCCTCCAAGACTTGCAACTCTCTCTATCGCATTATACGGCGAAATGTACGGTATAAAAACAAAGTATAGTCACGAAAAACTTGTTTCGCCTGTCTCCACGTACTTATTTGAATGTAATATTTTTTCTAGGTTCCTTTGTTGATTAATAATCCGTTCTTGTAGGTCTCGTACCTATGTCTACCGCCAAATAGTACGTGCACCGCTGTGTTCCAGTATAAAGGAATGAATATATATATATATATAGAGAGTTACAGAATGTGAGGTATTACATCTTAGTCCTCAGAGGTGGCAACGCATCTGTAGCGTTCTTTATTTGAAGTTGGTTGCAGGTGTCCATGGACTGCAGACGTGCAGCAAATGAACCACTTACCAAGTACGCTTACCACCAAGTTACAAAAATTGTTAAAAAAGTGTCAAAAGTTGTCCATAAAATTCGGGAAAAGGATAGCTCACACAATCAGTAGACAAAAACTATTTTTAGGCTTCCGTACCCAGAGGTTAACCAACGAGACCTTATTACTAAGCCTCCGCAATCCGTCTGTCCGTCCGTTTGTTGGGCTGTAAACTGTAATATGCAGACAGTTGAAATTTTCACAGAATGTGTATTTATGTTGCCGCTATAACAACAAATAATAAAAATAAATTAAAAATTAAAGGAGGCTCCCCTACTAAATACGTGTTTTACGATGGTACGGAACCCTTCATGCGCGAGTCCGACTCGCACTTGACCGGCTCTTAATGTTTACCTATGTTATCGCATAATACTTAATAGTACGTAAAAGATAACAATTATAACCTACAACTTCGTAAAATTTGATATAATTAAAATATATTCATAAAAAGTATTAAAAATAGGCTTAGTGATTAGAAATTGGAATCTTCTTTCGTCTTGCATAATATATCCGGTAGATTTAATAATCATTAAGATATATGGTTAAATAGCCTTTAGCAATAAAATTAAAATTAAAAATAATTAAATTAACTGTAGGCCAACCTAGCTCATGGACGCACGGCCCCTGACACCTTCTACGTGCGAGCAACACGAGTAGGACCTTCGCCGGCGCCATTGAAATTATCAATCAATAGTAATTTTAAGTGCAGATTAAACACGCACTTGGTGGTGTTGAATCGTGAGGAAATCAATATACTGCAGCTGAAGCTGTGAAAATACATAAATTGTTTTATTGCCTAGTTGTGATGCAATTTTTTCCATATCTCTGAGCCTTAGCCTACGTCCAGAGTATAATAATTTAGGCTTAATTTATGCTAGTGTCTGTTAATAATACATAACTTAACAATTTACTAAAAGAATAGCACGAACGACGAATGTAAAATGTAATAAAAATATTTCACGTTTTAAAATTAACATATTATATTGATATATATACCTAATTAACATAACGTAATACATGAATATATTATTTTGAATTGTTAGTGTCGAATAAATGAAAAAATATTGAGATTTTTTAAAATGGCATTTGAATAAAAATAACTGGTTTACATGATCAGGTATCGTGCGAAACGATATCAGCCACAGGTACGAGTAATTTTAAGAAGCGATATGACGTATAAGATAAAATAAGATAGTGAGACGTTTTTCACTTTTATACAAAAGCCAGGATTTTGCGATAAAACCTCACTACTCCGTGGTAGATTCATTGGTAGAAAGTGCTTCCAGTTCCCTTGCTTTTTCAGCTTTTGCTGTCGCACGGATGGGCCGGCTCGAACCGGGGTGGTACCACGACCTCACAGAAAACCAGCGTGAAGTAGAGGTTTACCTCTGCGTTTCGCTTGGTGAGTGCAGGTGGCCGGAGGCCCTTTTTACTGGAAATGAGGCATTCCATCTTAGTCCTCACGGGTGACAACGCCGGAGGCCCTTTTTACTGGAAATGAGGCATTCCATCTTAGTCCTCACGGGTGACAACGCATCTACATTTTGATTTCTAATAGAGGATAGATGTAGATGTCTATGGGCCGCAGCAACCACTTACCATCAGGTGGACTGTGTGCTCGTTTGTCACCCTTATCCTATAAAAAAAAATGTTTTTTAAGTGTTAAAATTGGTTGATTTCCTTTTGAAGGAAACCAAAATAGCACATCCATAACAATTTTACAATTGTAATGCAATAAATTGAGTGTGTCAGTATGTGTGTGCGTGTGCGCAAGAACCACGATACTTACTAATTTTTGATAGATCTGTGATAGCTTAAGTTATAAACTGTTATTTAATTCGTAAGCGAGTAATCCAGGTGATTGTCAACACCAAATATTGTGAATTGTAATTTTAGGTGCCGATGTAGGCGATTAAGGAAAATATTTTGAGGAAACCTGTATATTATTGTATAGAAAATAAAAATACACTCACGACACGTAAAGTCCATCATCACGCATTTGGAAATTCGACAGAATCTTCCCTACTTCAAAAAGGAGGCCTGTCTACAGAAGTGGGACGTACTATAGGAAACTTATTTATGTATCATTTAAGTTATTTTTCTTTAACTTTCTTCTTTCTTCGTATAACTGACGGAAGTAGTTGGTGTTTGTGTTTAGTGTAACAAACCTATTAATAGTGCTAGAAGTTAATACTAGTAGTACTTACAATAAACTTCATACTTTCTGAAGACATACTTCGTTCACTAGAATACTTTTTGTTACTAGTTTTCGATTTTTTATTTTACTTTAATAATTAAAATTGTACAATTTTTGCCAGGCAACGATAGACCTTATCTATAAGGTAACTTCTTATTACAGATTTCAGTGGAAACTTATTTATGTCCTAGCTGTGCCCCGCGACTTCGCCCGCGTGAAATTTACTGCGATTTCATGGATTTTAATTTTTTTTTGCGCAGAACCCTAATTCTTTTTCTAAAATAAAAGTATCCTAAGTCATTCCTTGTAACATCAGCTATCTGTCAGTGAAAGTCCCGTCGAAATTGGTCCAGCCGTTTCCGAGATTATCCGGAACAATCAGTCAGATAGACAAAAATTTTAAAAATTGTTTTTGTTATTAGTACCGTATTTTCATATGTATTTAGTAAAAAGCTTCTATTTTAACATTACAAACAGACACTTCAATTTTATTTATGTGTATGTATGTATGAATAGATATAGATTACCTACTTAATTTGTTTTTCTTTAACTTTTTTCTTTCTTCCTTTAACTTAAGAAAGTAGTTGTTCTCTGTGTTCAGTGAAACATACCTATGGATAATGATGGAAGTTGATACTAATAATACTTCAATAAACTTCATACGTTTTCAACTTCGTTGACTAGTCTACTACATTTTGTTACTAGTTTTCGTTTTTTTGTTTTTCTATATTTCATTGAATCCATACTTACGAAATTGTACTATTTTTGACAGGCAACTATAGATCTTATCTATAAGATAATCACAAACAAATAAATACGATAATTTTATTAATTACAAATTGCAGACATTTAATACGTTTACAAAAGGTTTATTAAGAGTCACTATCAGTAATGGTTTATTTATTACGTATCTAGCAAGGTCATGAATTTTCCACATTATCTAGATCATGGAATATTTTGTTCACAAAGAAATAAAAAAAATCTAATTTTATAACTAAATTATACTTTTTCTAATTTCAGGTCGATAGAAGATAAGAAACCGGACGGGTCGTTCATGTTTTCGCCGCTCACAAAGGAGTCGAAATTAAGAAGGCACATAAGGTCGATGTCAGACGTCCAGAGCAGTACTCCCTACCGACTTCCGTTCAGATCAAGGAAGGGAAGCAAGCATATCTTAATGTACGACTCTGATTCTAGAGCTAAAAGGATCATGGCCTACAACAGACATAAGCTTCTAGAGTCTTCAGATTCAAGTGACTTCGACGCACCTAAAAATCAAAGGAGCATAGAGAATAAAATTATGAAGCACACAGATTCAATGCGTATACTTTAACTTTTATAGATCTGACTAAGGACGGGGCTCTGCAGTCTAGTATACGTTCGGTTGCTAAATTGTTTGAGTGTCTTGCCATTGACTTTTAAGACTTACGTATTTATAATCTTTGATGAGGTGTTTTATCCCAGCGTGATCTACAAAGACTAAACTTGAGACTGTGATTGCGTTAGATTAATTTGTATTATTATTTAAGAAAATATATTGTATAACGGTGAACGAAGTGATTTAGACTGTAAGCAACTCTCAAGGGTAAAGATTTACAATAGTATCTTTATGTAAAAATACTGCAAAAATAAAAATAACCTTAAAATCTTCAACTTTTTAACACTAATCTTGTTAACGACAGTATTGTAAGATGTCGATCAATGTTACCAACAATAATGTTCACAAATACTTATGCTTTTTAACGTACTATAAAACGTTTATATCAGCCAATTTAGATAAATGATGTGCCTCTACTGTTCACGTAGATCGTTATAATCTGTGAAAAGAAGATAATAGGAAATTTTATCGAAGTTAAAATTTATTGAAGAAATATGACCTGTTGAATACGTTTTTAATTAAGTTTTGACTAATTTCTGTTTGAAATGTAGCTTTACGCACAACTATATTATTAAATCTTAGAATGTTTTTGTGCCATAATGAATCTTTAATTGGCTTGTATATATTTTATTCGCTGAAATGTTTAATAATTTGCGATTAAATAAATGAGTTGTAAAGTAAATAATATTTCCTTATTCTTATAATTTTAATGGCCGTTTGACAACAACGTAGTAAGTACTATGATAATGGTCTCGAATCTGAATTTTCCTGAACAGTAAGCGGAAAAAAGGTAATAAATACTTATAGAAGAAAATCAATCGTAATAAATGAAGAGTTTTAATTACATACAGGGTTATTTTACAATAACTGACCAAATTTGCAGAGAAGGTTCAGAATAAGTAATATATGTAGGTAAATGGTGAAGAAAAATTAATTCAAATAAATCTCAAACATTCTGTACTTTGTATCTTTTAAATTCAAAATGCGTGGTAATGCATTATTTTAAATGATTTTACTGCGCACGCACACATTCGTAAGGGTCAATCGGTAGGCAAAAACGTTGTTACCCATAAATCACATTCAATTTTTGATAGAGTAGAAACTGTGATAGTTGCAATTAAATAATTTTTCCTTCTTAATTATTATAACCAATATAATCGGGACAGTTGCAAGTTAAAAACAGTTACTAATTATTATGTTTTTTCATTTCTTTCAAAATGTTTTTCCGTTACCTTTTCGTTTTAAAACATCATCAAAGTCAGAATCAATATATATATATATATATATATATATATATGTATCATTATTTATATATTTGAACTTAAGTTTAGGCTGCTCTTTGAAAAATAACTCTGTATATCATTATTTAATATTTTAATACCTTTCTTTGTAAACGCTACAAGTTGGGCACATTGAGTGAGGTAGGTTTTAATTTTATTATTAAGAGAGATAATGCAAGTGTTACGGATAAAAGCCGAAGTTCGGATACATCTAGGTTTAACCGGCTAAAAACTAGGTATAATGTAACTAATATAAAGTTATTAAGTGTAAGGGGGAATACAGTGCACACTATGTCGTCTACTGATTGACCGACTAGGCTCTTACGATCAACTGGCGAAAAAGTCATCTAAAACACAGAACCTAAATTACATCTTAACTTACTGTTGCTGATATTATTTGAAAACCTTGATTTCGTATTTTTCCTAAGTTTACCCAACCACAATCGTCTGCACTTCGGCTAAAAGTCCTTGCATTTCGGCTTTCAGCCGTATTACAAACAACTAAATACAATTTAATAAGTATACAATTATAAAGTGTATGCGCAAATACAGTAGATACGCACAGTGTCTCTTGCTGATTGTCCGAAGAGGCTCTGGCGATCGACTCGCGAAAAAGCCGTCACAGGAGCTAATTTTTACCTAATGGTAACAGGTAGTAGCCTTGCCAGTGTATCGACACTGCGCTCAATACAGCACCTGCTCATTATGAATATGCGAATCTTTTAAGGTTTACGTGGTAAAGTCTCGCTGCAGTGACTATGGTTCCAGCTTAAATGGTTCGGCTCGACTGAATAAAAACCACACTCGCACAAATATACTAGGTTTAAAATTGCAGAATAATTTTACTGTGTTTCGCTGCTGATCACGAAGTAACGGGTTTAAATCCCCGGGTCGGGTCAATCAGTTACTGTATTTATTTGTCAAAAAATTTTAAGTAGGAAATTTTAAGGTGGTTTATCCCCGCGCTTCAGAGAACACATAAAGCCGTTGGTCCTGTGCGTGATCTCTCTCTATTTTCGGTGGTGTTGGATTGCTGCTCCATCAGTCTATGAGAGTGAGTAAATTAGAAATGCACTTGTGAAAATTTAAAAAGAAAGGAAAGCTAAAATTCGAACTACTTGGACATTATTATGTTTCTTGTTGATATATAATAATATATAGGTTTTCATTAAGTTATTAGAATGTAACCAACATATCAAATCAAATAAAATTCATTTATTTGCATAATACAGGTACATAGGATGCACTAAAAGTATCGGGAATGGAATATTTCCACTGTTCCTGTCATATTAAAATATTTTTAATTGAAAAGTCCTTGGTTTTAAAAATCGAATACCATTTATTTATTTAAAAAAAGATTCTCGGCCTTGTCACAAGGTTTTGTCAAACTTGTTTAGTCGTTGAGAAAATGGAATTGACTCGAGAAAATTCAAGAGCGATGATTTATTATGACTTTTGAAGTGGTTTAACACAAAAACAGTGTGTTGACTGGATGATTTCTGCATTTGGTGATGAAGCCCCATCCAAAACCACAATTTATCGCTGGTTTGCTGTATTTCAACGTGGATGTGTCAAGCTCAGTGATGATCCCCGTCAAGGTCGTCCAAAAACTGCAGTCACCCAAGAAAACGTTGATGCTGTGCGTAAGCTGATTGAGGAAGATCGACATGTGACATACCGCGAAATTCAGGCAACTTTAGACATTGGCATGAGTCAAATACAAATATTCTTGCATGAACAATTAGGTGTAAAAAAGTTGTTTTCCCGATGGATACCGCATTCGCTCTGTGAAGAGCAAAAAGCGGCTCGCGTTACTTGGTGCGTCAGAACTCTCGAAATATTCCACGCAGGATCCTCAAATGCTGTATACAACATCGTATCATGCGACGAATCCTGGATATACGCGTACGAACCCGAAACAAAAAACCAGTCACGAGTTTGGGTGTTCGAAAATGAGTTAAAGCCAACAAAAATTGTTCGTTCACGGAGTGTTGCAAAAAAATGGTGGCCATGTTTGTCTCCAAAACCGGCCATGTTACGACTATTCCTCTTGAGGGACAAAGAACGGTTAATGCAGAATGGTATGCTAGCATTTGTTTGCCACAGGTCGTTTCTGAACTCCGTAAAGAGAACTGCTACCGCCGCACCATCCTCCATTACGACAATGCGAGTTCTCACACCGCACACAGAACAAAAGAGTTTTTAGAGCAAGAAAACATAGAATTATTAGACCATACGCCGTACAGCCCCGACGTAAGCCCTAATGATTTCTATACTTTCCCTAAAATAAAGAATGAATTGCGTGGACAGAGATTTTCATCACCTGAAGAAGCTGTGGACGTCTACAAAACGGCCATTTCGGAGACCCCAACTTCCGAATGGAATGGTTGCTTCAATGATTGGTTCCATCGTATGGAAAAATGTGTCAAATTTCGCGGAGAATACTTGGAAAAGCAATAAATACATTTTTAAGTAGTAATGTTGTGTCACTTCCTTGATTCCCGAAATTTTCAGCTCGTAGGTATAAAAGTTGTTACAGAAAATTAGAACGTGTAGACTGTATTATTACCTTATGAGGTGTGTAAATACATTATTAGGCTACGCATTACTAATTAAATAATGGTGCCTTTAAACTTTAAATCAAAACAAAAATAAGAAAAAAACATTGTCAATAGCTGTCATCGCATTTAGTCTTATCGTATTTTCATCGCAAAACTAAAAAGTTTTTGTTTTATAATTTGAATATTTTTAAGTAGGCATTTGTTTAAAATGTTCCGGTTTTCATTAAAAATCTATTATAAATATTCCTTACGATATTTGTAACGTTTTTAAAGTTTCTTTTAACCGCAGAAGAGTCTTTGTCTACGGGTTGTTATTCTTAAACTAATTACTTAAAAGTAATTCTAAGTAGATGCCATGGTGGGGCGTATATGTAGACGTGATTCATCTCCATTCAATTTCTATAGATTTTTTAATATCTCTATAGTTTCACTTAAATATTTACCTCACTATTGTTGCCATCTTTCATCTTTCTTTGTTGATCATCGTTTCTTTGAGGAAAACCATTAATCTTACTGCGCAAAAGTTCAGCCCTAATTTCGCTTGATCTTTCTAGTTGGGAGAGTGGGTAGTCGCGTTGTCACTGATTGTTAAATTCTATACATAACTTATTATTAAAGAATCGTTGAATGCGGGCTGGTGTGTAATAGGTAGTTACCATCTTCCTTATATCTGCACTTTCTTTCCTGACAGAGGTAAGCAGTTCATTTTTTAATTCGCCGTGAGCGGGTTGGGTTTGTGATTTTTACAATCGATATTGTGTTCAGCGTTCGGGTGGCGGGTCTTATTTCCTCGACGGTGAGCCTAATGATCCTAATTGGCCACACTCTTTCCTTCACTGAGAGCTGTGGAAGCTTATTAATTGCCGCACTGAAAGTTTCCAAGTCCACTATCTCCTGCAGTGGTAGGGAAGAAAGTGGGCTCGTCTAAAGTGGGAAAAATGCTTTGAATTTATCAGTTTATAAATTAATGTTCGTAATAAAAATTTTAGAATTCAATCGATTTTTCTACTATTTTTGTATTTACATTGAACACACATTTTATATTGGGGAGTACATTTTTTGTGAGTAAGGAAGAGTAGTAAAAGAAAATTTTAAAAATAAAACTCAGTTCAAAAAATATTTTTTTTGTTTTATAGATATAGGGTGACAAACGAACACACAGTCCACCTGATGGTAAGTGGTTGCTGTGGCTCACAGACATCTACATCTATCCTCGTTTACGAATCAAAATGCAGATGCGTTTACAGCCTTAAGGACTAAGATGGAATGCCTCTTTTCCAGTAAAAAGGGTCTCCGGTACTCTACACTCACCATACGAAACAAAACAGCATTAAGCTGCTATTTTACGCTGGTATTCTGTGAGAGCGTGGTCTTTCCCCGGTCGAGCCGACCCATTCGTACTACAACTATATTATAAATATAGCTGCAGCATGGCTCTACTACGTACAAGAATTACGTTTAAGATTACGTTGTAATTGACTTGGAATTGCTTCTTCTTCAGTTCAGGAGTTTTAAGCAAAGTCAAGTTACAAGTAATAATAGGTCTGTGAGGGTTACTTGCTGCATTTTTTTTTATTTTCTCTGGTCTTTCTCTGGCCTTTACATTTAATGTTTCGATGAAACACACATGGATTACACTTAAAAGCCGCCTTCAAAGATTTGTGCGAAAATAATAAAATAATTTCACTTTCTGAATTCGGTGCAAAGACAGTGTAGGTACCTATTATAGAAGAATAACTTCAGAATTTGAAATGATTTTTTTTAGTTCTTTGAAGTCGTAAGGTCTTGTCATTTAAATAATGGTTTGAAATAGATTTTGATACGTAAAAGTGGTGCAATTTTGTGATTTGTATATAAAATCCCTGCGCATGTGAATTATTAGTGGAAACGATGTTACGGGTGCTTCGAGGATGATATAAATCTCAAGTTTTTTAATAGATTCAGCGTCTTGAGATTGTATCATCAACTATAAGCTGTGGCTGTCGTCAAAATCTGCCAAAAGCTTTTTTTCATCGTACCGCTCTCAAAAACTTAACTATGTGATGCATCAGGCTGTTATGAAGAATGGTGAAGTATTTTGCGAATAAAATTCGTTAGACTAGCATAATGCTCTAAAATCTTTGCCTGCCTTAATTAGCGTTATTGCCATTAAAACACCTTATTCACGGTCCATCTTGATGTACGTCCTGCCAAGGTCATGCACGATGCACGACGCAAAACGATAATGAGTACGCTTGACGTACGTAATTATTGACGTACCTACATCAAGCCTATTCATTGTCGTTTTACGTCATGCGTCGTGCATAACTTTGGCAGGACGTACAGCAAGATGGACCGTGTATAAGACTTTTAAGGCAGACAAATATTGGCCTAAATTGACAACTGATTAATTTTCTGTCCCAGAGAAATGAAAAAGTAAATACCTACAAAAATGAATAACATGACCTGCCTTGGACCAATTATCATGCAATTTGTCCAAGTACTATGCAGTTCAGTGTCTGTTCAGGATCCCGGTGAAGTATATTATGTCCATCAGTTCGTCGTCAATTTGTCACGTGTTGGAGCAGATAATCAGACAAAAACCCGAATAACTACAGTTTTAATATCATTTAAACAATGGTTCAAAGTGGTTGGAAAATGGCTTGCGAATGGTGCACACAGAATACTTTACTCCTAGCGGAGATGATGGTGCATTTTGTGTAAAAAAAAGTCTGAGCAAATTAGCTATTTGCGAAAACAATGAAATAAGTAATCTAATGGTGATATAAGCCTCAATTTATTTTATCCTTCTAGGCAACTTGAGATAATATCGTCATCATTTGTTTGACTGAGTTAAGCTGTCGTCAAAATCTCTGAAACTTTGCAATGTACACATCGGCATTTTAAGAAGAATTTTGTGAACAAAACAGGCGACACACTAAATCAGTACCTATGGACATAGATCCCTTTGCCTTTAAGTAAAAATAAAAAAGAAATAGCGATGTACCAGCTCGTCTATTGATGCAATCGATTAACTAATTGTGCATTGAAATCGAATATTTGATTACTAGTCGATCGTATAGTCATTTCTGCATAACAATCTTAACACTGGCTGAACCAATTTGGATGTGAATTTCAGTGATATATTAGGATAAGGTTGGGTTAACATTTAGTAATTGTTTCATTGAATTCAGTCTATTTCAAAACGCGTGTTGCGTGCACTGACAAAGAAAATTTGTGTATTTATACATCTATACAAATAAATGAAATTGAAGTGTCTGTTTGTAATGTCGAAATAACAGCGTTTTACTATATGCATATGAAAGTATATACGGTACTTATAACAAAATATAACATATAACAAAACACGATTTTTAAAATTTTTGTCTGTCCGTCTTTCTGTCTATCTGTTTGTTCTAGCTAATCTCCGAAACGGCTAGACCGATTTTCACCGGAATTTCACTAGCAGATAGCTGATGTTATAAGAAGTAACTTAGACTACTTTTGTTTTAGAAAAATAATTAATAATAAATTACGCGCGGGCGAAGTCGCGGGGAACAGCTAATTTAATATAAAATTGATCGCTATGAAATTCTTCTTAAAATAGTTTTTGTTGGTGGTGGTTTGAATTGCGTGATCTTAATGCCGTGACTATCAACAAAGAGCAGGGCCAAACGCGTAGAGTGGTGGCCGGAGTGCATCTAAGTATTAGCTGTCATACCAAAATGGACGTTGACAATAAAGGATAGTTTTGGGACCGGTACTTTAAAACCGATTTCTTAACAGGAGCCAAGAAAAACTGAAGCCTGAGTTGAACCCATTGATAGTTGCCAAAATGTCAAACTAGTAAAGAAAACTAAAACACAATTAATAATCTTTATACTGTTTGACATAAAAATCAAAATCGATTATAGTCCATTATCGTCAATACGCATCACTATTATCGAGTCCAAAAAAAAAATAAAAAAAAAAGCAAATAGTGACATATTAAAAGTCAAAACAAAGAACAAAAATGTAAATAGGACATGTATATAGGACATGTACATATTATAATATGTATTGTAAAAATCCTAAGATTTAGTACCTAAATACTCTGTGTGACTCTCATGAAATACTTGACGCTGGCAGAATCCGTTGGAAGTTGCCAAACTAGGAAAAAAAAAATCCTAAGATTAGTACTTTAATTCTGGCAAATATTGTTAAGATTTGATTGTAGATAGAATTAAGTTTTAGCTTTTAGTAGTAATTTATGTATTCTCTTGTGACGTTTATTGAAGTATTCAATTACAAACCTAAAACTGTAATGCAATAAATATATTAATTATTAGTATTTTTAGTTTGTAACAAAGAGTACATCTGTCACTACGTTTAGTTTGTAAGCGGAAGAGAAAAATGAAGAAATGGCTTGGTATTATATTTCTTATCAAATATATTCTTGCGCATCCAACTCCTATTGTTCTTTGGCATGGAATGGGTAGGCGTTATCTTATATCTTTTATTACAGAAATATTGCATTGGAAGTTGCTTATGTTATTGTAGACACATATTTATTAATTTTTAAATTATAGGTGATACTTGCTGCGTTGACTTTAGCTTAGGGGCTTTTAAACAATTTCTCGAAAGAGAAATACCGGGTGTTTATGTAAATTCTCTGAGAATTGGAAATTCAACTATTGAAGATTTCGAAAATGGATATTTCATGCATCCAAATAAGCAAGTAGAATATGTGTGCAATATGTTAGCTAATGATCCAGAATTACAAGATGGATTTAATGCTATAGGTTTTTCACAGGGTGCTCAATTCTTGTAAGTAATATTATGTACCTATGTGATTTTTTATTCCATTTAGTTGATTAATTGTTAACTGTGTAAAAACAGGTAATATGTATTTAGTATTTACAATTTACACTTACACACATATTAGACACACATTGTAAATTAATTATAAAATTCCACAAATATTACAAGTTTCTATAAATTTATATTTAGAATAATATAGTGGTACAAATTTAGTAATTACAACCCATCACAAGTCCACTATTAAACATGGGCCTTCTCTGAACTTTGCCACAAAGTATGGTCTTGAACCAGGTCTGTAGCATGAATGGGTCGGCTCAACCAGGGAAGGATCACATTCTCACAGAATATCAGTATATAATAACAGCTTAACACTGCTATTTCGTACGGTGAGTGTAGAGAACCGGAGACCTTTTTACTTCATGGAAACGAGGCATTTCATCTTAGTCCTCATGGGTGATAATGCATACACATTTCGATTCGTAATAGAGGATAGATGTAGATGTCTATGGGCCAGAGCAACCACTTACCATCAGGTGGACTGTGTGCTCGCTTGTCACCCTTATCCTGTAAATAAATAACTAATTAAATTATGTATGTTAAATGTACACTTTATGTATACTTTAATTATAAATTTTGTTTAAATTGAGGATTAAATATTATATTGCCATGCTCAACACATTCATTTTGTTTTTGTTTTTTGATTGTTGCTGTGCCCAATAGGTTCCATGTCCAAAAACAAAATTTTTAATATTGAAGACTGAAAATGAAAGCTCTTTATTTTGCAATGTAAGACATTAAAATTTAATTAAAAATTAAGAAAACATATTTTCTATATAAAAGCTAGGAAAAAAGCATGCGGCTCACCTGAAGGTAAGTATCGACTCGACCGCCACCCATGAACAACTTGGGGTGTTGCTGGTGTGTTGCCTGCCTTTTTACGTGTTTTTATGTTATATTATTATTGTGCATATATGTATTATTTAGTATAGAGTATTCTTGTTGGATAATAATCCTAGTCTGATAGAAGCTGTTCTTACTATAGTTGTTCTATTTCACGATGAAGGTTTGACTTTGGTTGTGTTAGCCATGCACATACACATTGTGTTAGTGTGCGTAGGCCTCGGGAGCACTCAGTCACGATCTCGAGTCGGACGAATCGCAGTTACATACACAAATGTGCCTGTCAGTACATGTCACTACTACAATCAAGGCGAAACCTTCATCGTGAAATAGAATAACTATACAAAAAGAATTACTCTATGTAAATATATGTATCAACTCAAATTTCGAATTAATTTCTTATAATCTATAAGTGTCTAACAATGGTATATTATAATACTCTTTATTTTCTGTATAACTTAACTTAGGGCAAATTTATGAATCATCAGATAAGTTATTCATAGGACGAATTACAATTAAACAAATTAAAAATGACAGTTGTATGAATAAAATAGTCTTATAGTTTCACTTTTATATTTAGTCAGGTTATAATTTTTTTGATAGTATTTTTTTATCTGATGGTTAAACAATCGGCCCTTAGCTAAAGTTACGTACGTAACTTGGCCTCAGAAAAAAATAACTAAAGTTTTTGTATATATTATTAGGCGGGGCGTAGTTCAACGTTGTGGTCACAAATTGCCACCAATAAAAAATGTAATTTCTCTTGGTGGCCAGCATCAAGGTGTATACGGTCTGCCACATTGTGGAGCATTACAACATGCAACTTGTGACTACGTCAGAAAGTTACTTAATTATGCGGCGTATTACAGGTATATAATATTTTTATTACTAGACTATTCCATCCATCCATCCACCATCCATCCATTACAGTCTATAAAGGTACACTATTGAACATAGGTCTCTCTCATAGATTGTTATGGTACGATTTTGTCATAGTTGTCACGCTTGGCAACCGCAGTTTTTGTTATTTTGAGTTGTTATCAGGAAGTGGTTTACATGGTAGAGTCATGCTGCAGCTATATTAATAGTATAGTTGTAGCACGACTGGGGAAGGACCATGCTCTCACAGAATACCAGCGTAAAATAGCAGTATAACACTGCTGTGTTTCGTATGGTGAGTGTAGAAAACCGGAGACCCTTTTTACTGGAAAAGAGGCATTCCATCTTAGTCCTCACGGCAGGCGTCCTGACAACGCATCTGCATTTAGATTCACAAACGACGATAAATGTAGATGTCTATGGGTCACAGCAACCACTTACCATCAGGTGGACTGTATGCTCATTTGTCACCCTATCCTATAAAAAAAAGGAAGGTGCTGCTGGCCCATCTCCTGTTTCATTTTCCCTCTGTCACCTCTTACGACATCTTCGGGAAGATATGGGGCAGTGAATACTTTTGCATGGTTATTCACTAATACAGTAAGAATTATTAGATGCGTGCAAAAGGTTCTACTCGTTTTCAGTCCACAAAATATATGACAAAAATACAAATTAATCTGCATGATTGCTATTCTTATCAATTATATTTTGTAACTTAAACTAAAAAAATCTTATTTGCTGTTCGTACTTGTTCTTTATCAAAGTATTTATGAGTCAACCTCTTCTGAGAGATAATAAGAAATAATAATCACTATGTATTAATGTTGTGTATCATAGAGATCAGGTTAAAATGGAGGGTTAAGACATCCCATTCTAAGTGTAATAATTTTTTTTGGAATCTAGAAAGCTGTGTGAGGTGTAAATACACTGGTGGTAAATACACCTGTACATTTGCAAGAGACTAATGTTAAAAACTTTTTTAAATTTTTCTTATTAAGATGTCTCCTACAAATTAGCAGTGATTTTGTTATTATTTGGTTAGAAGTTAGAAGAAAATAATCTACCATACTTTTCATTTTTCGTATGCTTGTTTCTGGCGTGTTATATTTTTGTAAATGACCCATTTATCATCACAAGTTACTAAGAAAATATAACAAAGAAGAACAAATATTGGGCCTGTTTGTTAATATTTTTCCGACAATTCACATGACACCCCATTCTCCAATTTATTTTCTTATAAAACTTAAAAATGCATGTGTGCCCTCTCTCTACTGCAGTTCTGTATACGGGAAACCTACAGAATTTTTCAAAGGTTGCTTAACTCTAAAACCGCACCAGATCGCGATTTATCACCACAGTTTTTGCCTCCTTTGATGATTTTCGAAACCATGTGCTTTCGTCTGTAGCGCCACGTGCACCACACAAATATTTCGACAAGATTCAGCTGCAGCTTGACATTTTCAAACTCATGAAGCAGTGTCAGATAATATTATATGGTTTTGTTAGACGATAGTATGTTAACCGTTCGAAAATTTTACTTTTTCATTATATATTATTTACCATTGAATTATTATTTACCGTAGGTACGTCATCTATAAATATTATTACGCCATATTGTATTTTTTATTATTGCGTCACATCTTTTTAAACTTAGTACAAGATTTGAAACTTTTGCAAATAAACCAAGAGTCTTGTGGGGTGGTGAGGATGTAATGAAAATGGATTATGTGAACTCAAAGATTTTATGGCTTCTCCTAGACGTAACGGCCGCGACTACAATATCTAGACAGTAGCCAATCCGCTTACTGAGTGTGGCGACTAAGAGAAATTTTTCTTACAACGGGACTGAGACAATTTATTTTAAACCTAAACCTAAACAAAGTTATGTTTTGATTTTATTGCTGAAACTATTCACAGAGAATTTTCGATTTTAAACAGATTAAAAAAAATAGTCTGCTTGTCATCAACGATTAAAAACGATTAAAAAATTTCTTATTAGTATGTAAAGTTACAGTCTGTATACGTCCCACCGGTGGGCGCAATCTATAAATGGGGCATGGGCATGGTAGTATAAAGCTCTTGTTGCTCAAGGGCCCAGAGATGAGAACAGTATTCCATATGAGGCCAAACCTGCGCTTCGTAAAGCTGCAGCAGTGGGCTGGCATGAAATACCGTCTCGACCTAATCAGCACACTTAAACTTATTAGATGCCAGTTTAGCCTTCCCTTCCAAGGAACTGTACGTGGTAGAGCCATGCTGCAGCTATATTAGTAGTAGAGTTGTAGCACGAAGGGGTCGGCTCGACTGTGGAAGGACCCCGCTCGCACAGAATACCAGCGTAAAATAGCAGCTTAACACTGCTGTGTTTCGTATGATGAGTGTAGAGAACCGAAGACCCTTTTTACTGGAAAAGAGGCATTCTATCTTAGTTCTCACGGGTAAAAATGCATCTGCATTTTGATTCGCCAACGGGGATAGATGTAGATGTTTATGGGCCACAGCAACTACTTACCATCAGGTGGACTGTGTGCTCGTTTGTCATCTTATCCTATAAAAAAAAAACTGCGGAACTCTAAGTTTCCCAAATTTTGACGCTAAGGATCCGATGTTGGCTAAGGCAGCAAGAGGAGTGTCCTGAAATTAAGGAAATAGGACAAACGGGTTCTTTTTAGCGGTACCGTGCAAACCTGTGACTTTATGCAACAAAGATCTACTCGAGACACAAGTTTGTTCCGGCGCTAGACAACGAATTTAAAATGTTTTAAAGAAACTTATATGAAAGATGACTCATAGACAATTCTGTATTTATAATGTTTTTTTACATGCGATGCGAACAACATCTTTTTTTTTATATACGATACGGTGACAAACGAGCACATCTACATCTATCCTCAATAAACACTCAAGATGCAGATGCGTTGTCACTCGTGAGGGCTCAGATGGAATGCCTCTTTGCCAGCAAAAAGGGTCTCCGGTTCTCTACACTCACCATACGAAACACAGCAGCGTTAAGCTGCTATTTTACGCTGGTTTTCTGTGAGAGTGTGGTCCTTCCCCGGTCGATCCGACCCATTCGTGCTACAATTATACTACTAATATAGCTGCAGCATGGCTCTACCACGTGTAATCGTGAACTCAGTCGCTTTGATATAGTTGTTTTAAAGACAGTTATCGCGGGTTATCTGTGTTTGGTAGTCTTTGGCGTATTTTAAATCATTTTAAAGAGAAAGAGATTCACCATTTGGATTTATTTATTAACTCTTTATTTGTATAACACCTTAATAAAAATATTGCAAAAGGCGCACATAACGCCTTTTGGTATTTTCTCCCAGTCAATCCGGCATTGACTGGCCAGCGTGTGATGTAATATTGCGATAAATTTATCTAGTATTCTTTAAAATAATATCTAGTATGCGCAAAGGTTATTATTATTATCTAGTAGTCGTAAGCGTACTGTTGGTCATGTGATCCCTGGTTTGAGTCGAAATCGTATTGAGATGTAAAACTTACGTAAGTACTTATATTTAATCTGTGGTGCACCCTCCTAATGTCATAATTAAAAAAGTTAAAATTAAACGCAATAAAATCTAAATATTTGTTTTATTCCATGTGTAGTATTCGCATAAATATTAGAAATCACCATCTTTATCATTTCAAAGTATTTAAAATTTTTATAATGATACAAAAATGTCAAAATAATATTCACGTTTTAACGACCTTCGAGAGCAAACTATTATTAAGAAATAAACGTTCAGTAATAATTGTTTGTTTATGGAACCTGCAAAAAGTTACCTTGCACACAACAAAGAAAAAATAATTAACATAACGCTCATATACTACATATTTGATGCACGTAATAAATACTTTTGAGTCTTTTTTTTAAGATAATTTCAACAAAAAGATTTTGTTTACAAATACAAATACGTATCGCGATTGCTCAAAAACCCTAAACTTGTTTTATAGTCATATACAAACATTTAAGATATTCTCCTGGCGATAGATTTCGTTGTATTTTTCACCGCCCCGTGTAAAATTTAAATTACATTGGGTCCTGTGTTGACGACTGATCCCGATTGTTCGCGTCGTACATTTTTGTCCATCAAATTAGAAGATATGAAATAAAGCACTAGTCGTATGTAATGTTCACAAGACTTCCCTAAACCTCTGCCTCGGTCGTAATACATCATGATCATCATCATATCAATCCATCACAAGTGAACTGCTGAACGTAGGCTTCCCAAAGGAATGTTACAAAGCACAGTGAGACACCCGCATTCACAAACTTCTTGCATATCTTACCACATCCTCACTCCATCTAGTGGAGGGCCGCCCTACACTTTGCTTACCGATATGAGGCTGCCACTCGAGAACATTTATTCCCCTTCGGCTGTCGGTTGTTCGATGTATATGGCAATATGTGCTGCTAGAATTCTAAAAAAAATAGGATTTTACTTTTTTATATTCCTTTACTAGCTTTTAAGTCACACAATGAAAGCTGCTTTTCATTGTGTGACTAAAAGTAACGTAACAAGTAACTAAAATGCTTGTCCTTTTAAGGTGTTTCAGTTTCTGCACGGCTATCATGGGCTGCGGACATAAAATTTATCCACCGCTTATATCCACTGACAAGGGATAAAATTATTTTGTCCTTATGCCAAAGCACGGCAACGGGGAGAAGTATATCCCCGTTTGACGTAACGAGTAGACATATCCCCCGTCTGTAGCATGGAGTCAAATGAAAGATAAGAAATTATGCTTTTTTGATATTTGAAAGGGACAATTTTATCCTAGTTCATTATACGTGGGTTTAATATAAAATTCATACAAAAAATCTATCTAAGTCTAAGTCTATCTCCCATTTTATCTACTGTGTATATTATATCCACCGGTGTGCCCATGCTCAATGGGTGGATAAAGCTAAGCGAGGGGATAAACATTCGCTCCTTTCCCCTAAAATTGTCTCCTGCCCATGTTGGCCTGGCTGGTGGCAAGGTCATCTAGGTCATGATCTGTGTGTGTGTATTTTATTTAAATCTGTTTAGTCGTTTATGCGTATTATTGATGGTTGAGTTTGAGTGAATAAGTTGAGAATTATGGAGATTGAGTGGCAATGCGAACATGTTCAAACTACCTACTAATCTGCTGAATCTATACAAATAAATAAAATTGAAGTGTTTGTTAGTAATGTCAAATAACATCTTTTTACTAAATGTATATGAAAATATATACGGTACTTATGACAAAAAGACAACTTTAAAATTTTATTGTCTGTCTGTCGGTCTGTCTGTCTGTTTGTTCCGGCTAATTTCAGAAATTATTGGACGAATTTTGATGGGACTTTCATTGACAGACAGCTGATATTATGGGAGTAACTTAGGCTACTTTTACTTAAAAAAAAACAATTAGGGTTTCGCGCAAATAAAAAAATTAAAACCCATGAAATCCAACGGTAATAAATTCCAAGCGGACGAAGTCGCGGGGAACAGCTAGTAATGAATAGTTTCTCGAATGGATTCCGATATGGCCCCATGTAGACAAAACACTACTTACAACACCATGATTAGGATGGCAGTGATTAAAAACCTAATTATTTTTTTAATTTGCAGTTGGGTACAACATTCTCTCGTCCAAGCGACATACTGGCACGATCCTCTAGACGAGATAATGTATAAAAAAAGTAGCCAGTTCCTGGCCGATATCAATAACGAAAGGAAAATAAATAAAACATACATCGCCAACTTAAATCGATTGGAGAATTTCGTACTAGTTAAGTTCGACAGTGACAGCATCGTACAGCCGCGGGAAACCGAGTGGTTTGGTTTCTACGCGCCGGGGCAAGCGGAGCGATTGTTGCCGTTGGAGGAGTCTAATCTCTATAAGAAGGTGTGTTGGTAGTTATCAGCTTGGTGATTTTGCAATTTTAAGCCCTTATTGTCTTGGAGAAATTTTAAACACGATTTTGTACGTGAGAATTTATACCGAGTATGTGCTTTCTATATAATGATGTTTATTTATCTATTTAATTTATTAGAAACTGTATTATACCTAGTTCTTTTTTATAAAATTGTAATGATGAAAAAACTTAGTCTATATAGTGTATAAGTATATGTGACCACTGCAGTTCATGCACACTTGCTATTAACAAAGAAGGCTACGTGGTGTGTTGTCACCTATGAGGAATAATATGGAGTGTCACATAGCCCGTAACTATACTGTTAACATTGAGTTATATGTACTACGTACTAGAGAAGCCATTCCGAACATTGACTATGTTCAACTGAACTGTAATGCAATCCATACAAGCTAAATATTGCGTAAATTGAAGATTTGTGAATTCCATAAAATTATTATTATTTCATTTTATTTAGAAATATGTTTGTTTAGATTAAATTAATATATTTTATATTAAATTCTTATATTTATTTTATATTAATATCTTATTTTATATTAAATTAAAGTCTTCGCGCATGCGCGTAGACATAGAGTAGGACACAATTTTTGTTTGGAATGGCTTCTCTCGTACGTAGTACATATAACTCAATGACTGTTAATCTATTGCTCAAATACTCAAACGTTACTCCATTTTAAAACGCCGTTAAATCTCGTGGTGTCACAGTCACTTTCACTTAAAGTGATAGAGACAACACGAGACTTACCAGCGTCTTAAAATTGAGCGGCGTTTGAGTATTTGGGCATATACCATTCAGCCCGGAAAAGATACAGTATTTAGTAGATAGTGAGCCCAAAATTAGTGACTAATATCGTAAACAAATAATGTGGAGAAAAGGAGAAATGACAGAACATGGTTGTACCACGGTATGTGATAAGAGCAAACTAGGAAAATGCTCAGATAGACCTTTCAAATAAGATCTCTTATCTCTATCTAATAATATATAAAAAATATTTTTTTTGTTCCTATATTATGCGCTGCCATACCATTCATCAGATTGTGGTAACTTTGTCAACTTATTGCTTGCACTTCATAAGTTATAGGCATAGTACAATTAACTTACAGTAGGTGGCGCGCGTGTGGTACCGACAAATTCATTTGAAAGTTATACATCACTCAACTTCAATGAATGTATTATCATTCCTAATGAAACAATATAACTCTTCCAAATTTAAAATTATATTTCGACAATTATTTATTCTATCAGATATACGTGGTAGAGCCATGCTGCAGCTATATTATTGTTGTAGCACGAATGAGTCGGCTCGACCGGGGAAGGACCACGCTCTCACAGAATACCACCGTAAAATAGCAGCTTAACGCTGCTGTGTTTCGTATGGTGAGTGTAGAGAACCGGATACCCTTTTTACTGGAAACGAGGCATTCCATCTTAGTCCTGACGGGTGACAACGCATCTGCATTTTTATTCTTAGTCGAAGATAGATGTCTATGGGCCACAGCAACCACTTACCATCAGGTGGACTGTGTGCTCGCTTGTCACCCTTATTCTATAAAAAAAAAGATGACATCAGGCAGTCAAACACCTGTGACCATGTAAAAGCGATAAAATCCGTAAAATTAATTTAGCTGAATAATTTTTTTCTTTCTGTGAATAGGATCGCCTGGGATTGAGGAAAATGAAAGAATCAGGCAAACTTATATTTTTGTCCACTCCGGGAGACCATCTACATTTCCCGCAAGAGTGGTTCGTCGAGAAAATTTTGAAGCCTTATTTACTTTAATTTAGCAGAAGTATGGAATCAATATTTGCTGAGAGACTGATATCCTATATTTTTTTAACTTGTCATGACACTTTAAGCAGATTGAAAGTAAAAAAAAATTACAACTAAAAAGTGATTAGTTAATCTATGTTATTGTAATAGCGATATGTTTTTATAAATTATTGTTTGTTTTTAATAGATCAAAGATTGTCTTTTTAGGAACGCTTATATTAACTAAGATTAAAGTTTGAATTTATGATTCTTTTATTGTTGTCATTTATTTTCATGTACTAAGGAGGTTGGATGAGAGTCTCCCGTTGCAGGGAGGGCTTATGTTAATTGCCTTGCTGCGAGATGCTTTGAGTATATATGTGGTAGAGCTATGCTGCAGCGATATTATTGTTATAGCACGAATGTCGGTTTAACCGGGGTAGGAATATGCTCCCACAGAATACCAGCGTCAAATAGCAGCTCCGTGCTGCTGTGTTTCACATGGTAATTTAGAGAACCCTTTTTAGTGACAACGAGGCATTCTATCTTATTCTATGATTCTGAATCGATAGATGTAGATGTCTATGGACCACAGCATTCACTTACTAACAGGTGGACTGTGTGCTTGTTTGTCACCCTTATTCTATAAAAAAAAAGTATTTTACGTGTGCAGTAAACGAGAGGGTCATATGGTCACATTCGATTTTGACAATTAACATTAAAAATGAACATACATCAGCTTTTAAGACAACTATACGGGGAAAGAAAAATGGCAGACTTTCATACATAAAGTTAGTTGAGAATGAATGGTAGCGTCTATTCTTAAAATGTTAAGGGTCACTCCCTTAATAACTTTGTCAAAGAATTTTGTCCTGAGAAGGCGTCAAAAAAAAGATATTTAGATTTGAACCTTTTTAGGTTATGTCTTATGTCACTTGGAAAATGTCATGCGTCTAGTGGTTGTTTGATGTTAGCTTAATACATTCTCAACATAACGTGCCCTACCTACATAATTGACAGTTTTTAGATTACTGTATCTCTATTATATATTTGCATACTATAAATGTATAATTCTGGCATGGCTCCAGGGCCTTTGTGTCATACAGCGACATTCTCAGAAGGCCGTAAAGCCAGAAACAAATATATTGACATTTTGTTTTAGCTAGTGTTGCCATAACATTAAATGGAATTGTTACAGTATGATTGAGGTAATGTATTATTGTAGGAAGTTCTTTGTAAGAGACTTCTTTTCAACCATAAGACTTTTTTATTATTATTACTGATGGTATAATTATTACTAATAATAACTTAATATAAAAATATTTTGTGTTTGTGTACTCTGTTGGTAGTCTTACAAAGTGTATACGAAAATAGTATGAATATTACTATAATGACAACACTTGAATAGAGTAAAATGATTTAAGTCATTTGATATTCTCAAAAATGTATGTTTTATTCTGTGGCTTTAATTAAAATACATTTTCATTTGAAAAATCATAGAAAAATAATAAAACTCATTTTATATATAACTTATTTCTAGACGCAATAATTTTTGTCAACTATTTTTCTGCCATTGCTCTAGCAATCCAAGACTGGCAACACCAAAAAATGACGCGTTGATTTTGTAAATAAAATTATCAATTTATTAGTTTTGTTTTCGTAAATTACTATTAGTTTTGAGTTACCGTGAGTTGAGATTTTGTTAGTTGTTTGTAAACGTTCTTTGTAATTTCTGCAGATTTTGATAGCGTAATTTGTCATTTTCACCAAAATAATTTACCTCCAAAAAATGAGGAGTGCGTGCGTATCTCTTGGCATTACAATTGACAGTGAGGAGCCTGGAGCGCTTTAGAGGCTAACAGTTGCTGATATTTTTTTCGACGCCTTTGAGCCGCCGTTACTCTATATAGAGAGTAAATAATCTAAGCTAGTAACATGGCATCCTATCTTACTCGTTTTGTTTCTAGATCGATATCCCTAATATTCACTTCACTTAGTTGTTGTTGTTTTAACTTTCGTTAATCGTTTCACCATTTCGTTTCATTATTGACCACAACTTTTTGGTGATTTTATACTGATCCTTCTTTTATATCTTTAAGTAATTATAGTGAAAAATAGCCTGTTACAGTGAAATAACTGTGAAAAAACAACCTGTTACAATGCACGTAATAGATAATCTCACTTTTACTTATTCTACAATAACTCAGCTCCTAGATTGAAAAATCTTGCCAGATCTTAAGCTATGAATTGTTTATATATACTCTTTCAAATGGTCCTACTTTGATCTTGTTAACACTTGGGCCTAAGAATGTATGGAGACGTCTCTTTCTCCTTTAAATAAAAGAAGAAAAAGACTGATAAAGAATGGAATTAGAAATGGCGGCTCCTCGAGCCCGTACTGTCCAAATGCACGGTACCATAGCGAAAAGCCATTATACAAAAGCCAGCAGCTGTTCGACTTCATGGAGAAATAGGGACTCTTTATGATGAACTTTTTCTTCCAGAAGCGGCCCCACAGGAAGTGGACCTGGACGAGCCCCGACGGTTTAACAAAAAATGAGATTGACTTCATTATGACGACTAGACGACAACTATTCAGTGATATCTCAATGATCGCGAGGATGAAAACCGACAGCGATCACCTAATAGTGAAAGGCACACTGAACCTAAACGTTAAGTTTGAGAGGTCTCGTCTAATGAAATCAACGCTTCTAACCCAAAATTCCGAAACCTTTCAGCTCGAGCTTCAAAACCGTTTTAAGTGCCTAGAAGTTTGCAATGCAGTGGACGATATGAATGATAAGCTCGTCGAAACTGCCCATGCGGTCGGAGCTAAGTTCTGCAAGACCGCCGCAGAAGAACACAAAAACTCTCCGATCACACTCTTAATCTTATGGCTGTTAGACGGGAAATAAAGCTGCAGTCTTCAGAAGATTTGATAGCATACACGCAACTGAACAGACATAATATCTCCAAATGCATGCGTTGGTACTTACGCAACTTCAATACAGCTCGTATTGAAGAAGCGATCGAGCGGAACCAGGGCTCTAAAGTCTTTGCTAGAGATCTGTCTGCCAGAAAGAGCCAATTGCCGAAGCTGAAGACCGAGTGTGGCAGCGTCGATTTCCGGGACACCTGAGATTTGGCAGCTGTACACATCATCGTTAGAGCCGAACGCAAGTGTGAGTAACGATCCGAGAGCAAGTCTTGTACGACACTATTCCGATGTTATTCCGGACGGTCAGTCTGAGCGAGATTATAATGGTTCTCTAGCACCTTAAAAACGGCAAGACCCCAGGCGTGGATAGAATTACAGCGGAGCTTCTGAAAGCGGGTGGAAAACCGGTAATTGAAGTCCTTCAAAAGCTCTTTAATACGGAATTAAACTCCATGGTAACACAACACCGGAGGCGTGGAGCAAAAGTGCGATGGTCTTGTTCTTCAAGAAAGGCGACAACGCTCTCTTGAAGAACTACAGACTGATTTCCCTTCTGAGCCGCGTCTACGTGCTGTTTTCGAGTGTCATTACGAATCGTCTCGTATGCAGACTCGACGGCTTTCAGTTTCCCGAAGAAGCCGGTTTCCGAAAAGGCTTTAGCACCATAGACCACATACATAAGTACCCTTCGGCAAATCGTTCAAAGTCGGAGGAGTACAATTTGCCACTATGGCTTGTGCATTTGAACACTCACCTTCGATTTGCCGACGATATAGTACTTATGGCAGAATCGCTGGAGAACTTAAGCACTATGCTCAATGACCTCAATAGTGCCTCCAAACGATAGGTCTTAAGATGAACATGGACAAAACAAAGATCATGTATAACGTCCATGTCACACCCATGCCAGTAGTTGTTGGGAGCACTAAGCTCGAAGTTGTTGAAGAGTATGTTTACCTAGGACAAATAGTCCGACTAGGTAAGTACAACTTCGGCCGAGAAGTCAATTGACCGATTTAACTCGGCAGGGCAGCGTTCGGAAAATTACGGCACATCTTCTCTAGCTGGACAGGGCCTGGTGGCTAGTCAGCTGTACCGCCTTTTCAATTTGTGCTGGCGAAATGGGCAAGAACCGGGAGACTGGTGCAAAGCCGTAATCGTGCCATTGTATAAGAGAAAAGGGTCACGGCAGGACTGCATAAATTACCGCGGTATAAGCCTTCTCAGCGTCGTCGGTAAATCGTATGCGAAAGTGTTGATTGAAAGGGTTGTGAATGAAACAGACAAAAAAGAATGGGATGCACAAGTGGGATTTAGAAAGGGAATGGGATGTACGGATCAGGTATTTTCCATGCGGTGCATAGCCAAAAAGTGTTTGGCTAAAAACAAGAAGGTTTATTGCGCGTTCGTGGATCTAGAAAAGGCCTATGATAGAGTAATGAGCAATGAATTGTGGTCAGCACTGTCCGTGAACGGTGTGAGCAGTATCCTCATACGAGCATTGCAATCTCTTTATAGGGATTCTAGTGCTTGTGTAAGGATAAACGGGGCATACACTGAATGGTTTAATATCGAAAAAGGTGTTAGACAGGGATGTGTAGCGTCACCGTGGCTGTTTAATCTGTTCATGGACAATTGTTTGACAGATTTAAAAGAGAATGAAAGGAGGTTGACAATGAATGAGTTACTCGTCAAATGTTTTCTCTGTGCTTATGACCAAGTATTATTTACGTCTTTGACCGAGGAGTTGCAGGAGATGGTAACTACTATGAGTGGAGCTTTTGTTAGAAAAGGAATGAAGATGAATGTAAGGAAGACGAAAGTGATGGTGTTTGCAAGAGATAAGGCAGTGACAGACTGCAATATCGTGATTGGAGATGAACAAATTGAACAGGTCAAAGAGTTTGTGTATCTGGGTTCAAAGTTTACAAGAGATGGAAAGTGTGAGAGTGATATCGAAAGAAGAGTGAATGCAGGAAACATGGTGAATGGAGCTTTGTACTCCTTTATGAGCAGTCGGAAGGTGTCTAACAAGGCTCGTTTGACTGTGCATGAGGGGGTGTTAGTTCCGACACTCATGTACGGAAGTGAAAGTTGGGTATGGCAGAAGAAACATGAAAGCAAAATAAATGCAGTTGAGATGAGATCGTGAAGAAGTATGATAGGAGTTAAACTGACTGACAGGATAAGAAATAATGAGATAAGGAAGCGTTGTGGTCTGAAAGAAGATATAGTGACAAAAATTGAGAAAGGTATGCTGAGATGGTTTGGCCATGTCGAGAGAATGAATGAAGAACGATTGACGAAAAAAGTGTATAAGTCGAATGTGAATGAAAGTGTTGGAAGGGGTAGACCTAGGCGGACTTTTCAAGACCAAAACAGGGACGTCTTGAAAAAAGGCCAGGTCAAGAGCACCCTAAACCGTAGAGCATGTATGAAGAGAATAATGGAAGTGGACGAAGCGAAACAAGTATGTAAGGATAGTAGCAAGTGGACAGACGTAGTCTCGGCCTACCCCTACGGGAAAGGCGTGATTATATATAGGTATGTATGTATGTATGCTATGCTGTACCAGATGCGTTGGCTATGCCTCTCAGCCTGTAAGCTCCCTATACCCTTTTAGATCGGAACACAGCAGTGCAGGCATTGCAGCTTGGAGGCAGAAGTAAGTTAGAGGATGGTACTTACCCAGACAAACTCCTAGCACTACGATGTGGTAGGACTTCTTTCTGTATTACAATTTAAGAGATTCTAAAGTATCCGTTCGATTGTAATAAAATGATATACAAAGCATCAAAACAAGAATTATTGTATAGATTAAATACGTCATGAATATCGGACGTTTAAATAGCTGTACAATTTCAACAACTTCCTACTTCAATTGGAAAGTTGGTAATAAGCAGACTCAAGAGCGTTGTTAGTAATCTTTATTGGTCAGCCAAATAGATTAGGTTTATTAGATTTTGTGTAAGTTGCATTTCACAATATTAAAAAAAATTGTTATGTCTGCGTATCGAAGTGTGAGGTAATTATTCTCGCACATACTACACATCAGTTAGGAAACCTTTGTCATTCGATGAAGCTCTCGAAGTCATGGCGTTGTCTCAATCGTACCCGGTCTGGTTCATCGCCCTGCACCCTCGCCTCGACGTAAACCCGTACAAATCTGTTGTGCTCCGAGCTGCGCTTGATGTAGGGCGCGTTTGCACTTCGCAATTTGTGCAGTGGAAACTTGGTCAGACAGTTCATCATGCATCTTTCAGCCACCTTGTAACTAAAAAGTTATGTCGAAAAATTAAAATAAAGAGTTGCGAGAGAAGACTTCATATACCCTGTTTTTTTATTCCTATTAAAATCTGGACGTCAAGGCATGAATGAATTTGTTACGCTAAGTGCCATTTACCATCTACGGCTTCATCACCACTTACCACCAAGTGGGAATGTAGTCAAGCACTGATTATGAACACACAATACTACGATCTATGATAAATTAGAAGCAAGACCCAAAGTTGTGTGTCAACAACAACACAATTAATTGAATATGTATTCGAATGAATATGAACATTTTGGCGAAATAATCTATTAATAGGCCTGACTACAAATGAAATTGATAGGCAAATAGGAAAGGTTGTTGAATGGTTGTGCGAGGCAAAAATTCCGTGTAAATCACACATTAGTGGACCGCCACCCATCGAGGTGATGAGGATGGAATTTCGAGTTCTGTTGCAGTGTAAGATGGTGGAATTCCGGAACTGGAATTAATCTCTAACCTCTGAGGATATACCAAGCAATAGAAGATCTCTTCTCATCTCTTCGCAAACTTTTTGTGTTCTTCAGCGGCGGGTCTTGCAGAACTTAGCTCCGACCGCATAGACAGTTTCCACGAGCTTATCATTAATATCGTCCACTTCATTGCAGTCTCCTAGGTACTGAAAACGGTTTTGTAACTCGAGCTGAAAGGTCTCGAGACTCTGAATTATAGCACGAGGGGGACGGAGCGTTGACTTCATCAGACGAGACCTCTCCAACTTACGTTTAGGTTCAGTGTCCCTCTAACCATTCGGTGATCGCTACTAGTTTTTATCCTCGCGATCACTGAAACATTACTGAACCGTTGTCGTCTGGCTGTCATAAATCATAATGAAGTCAATCTCATTTTTTATCGAACCGTCGGGGCTCGACCAGGTCCACTTCCTGTGGGGCCGCTTCTGGAAGAAATAGTTCATCATAAAGAGTTCCTCTTTCTCCATGAAGTCAGCCAGCTGCTGGACCATTGGGTTCCGTTGCCCTATTCCAAATTTCCCTATCTTCAGCTCACCGTTCTCTCCTGTGCCTAGTTTTGCATTGAAGTCTCCCATTAACACCGTATAGAGGGTTTTGGAGGAATGCATGCTTTTAGAAATATCCTCATACATTTACTCCACGTCTTCATCAGGATGTGCCAAGGTTGGTGCGTAAACCTGTATTACCTTCAACGAATACCGTTTGGTGATTCTGAGTATAAGGTACGTAACCCTCGTCGACACACTCCCAATCTTTACAACGTTGTTAACGAGAGACTTGTGGACGATAAATCCGACACCTCCTTGGGACAGATGGTCGCCCTCCCGGTGCTAGAACAAGTTACCAGATTCAATTTGGTTTATTTGGGTCTCTTTACTCTTACGGCTCCCACGGGAAGATATGGGGCAGTGGATATTCTTAAACGCCACCACATGCCTAATTTTAATATTATAATTTATAACTCAGCTTATTTGCAAAATACGTTGTTATAATTTTAAATAAATAGCCGCCAGAGGGGCGCCGATGTGGTGCTAGCCTAGGGCGCTGTCGACATTTAATCCACCTCTGTTCTTAACCGACGGTAGTTGTATCAGGGGCGTAGCTACCGCCGTATCAGCCGTATCAATGATACGGGGCCCCCGGGCTACAGGGGCCCCGGACGTGTGTAAGCAAAAATTCTTAGGACTTCTATGGGACTGGACGTTGGTTTGAATTGTTTGGCTAGCTGAGTTCCTAGGAGTATTAATATTAGTATTTTTTTTATAGGATGAGGGTGACAAACGAGCACACAATCCACCTGATGGTAAGTGGTTGCTGCGGCCCATAGTCATCTACATCTATCCTCTATTACAAATCAAAATGTACTCGTAGATGCGTTGTCACCCGTGAGGACTAAGATGGAATGCCTCATTTCCAGTAAAAGGGGCCTCCAGCCACCTGCACTCGTCAAGCGAAACGCAGAGGTAAACCTCTACTTCACGCTGGTTTTCTGTGAGGTCGTGGTACCACCCCGGTTCGAGCCGGCCCATCCGTTCGACAGCAAAAGCTGCCGCGTGGCTCTACCACTGTTAAATAAAATGTAATGACTTATAATCAATATATAATTATAAATCTTTACCCTTCATTTGGGCCCCGCGACAAATTTTGATACAGGGCCCCTCTAAGGCACGCTACTCCACTGAGTTGTATGTGTAGGTTGTTGTATAGTAGTTGGTCACAGTTATTTACTTATAATCAGCTGGATTGTTTGTTCGTTTGTCACCTTTACTTATACAGTTAAAAATATGAAAAGTGCATATATTTCAGACACGTTTTCCGCAACAAGGTATAGGTAAACGCTGTGTGTAGTAATAATAATATTTATCTATTCACTTTGTACTCCAGTCTCACGCATCTTTGACCTCAAGAGTCGTTTGTATTCTAAATAAACATGAGCAATTTACTTACTCGTACTGATTGATGCAATCCATCCGTATCACTTTGTACCCTTGATCGAATGCCTGTGCCTTCGATTTGTCGACAAGCATTACGGCCAGGCCTTGTCGTCGATACTCGGGTATAATCGTAAGCATTTTGATCTTAAAATTAACAAGAATTTTAATTTATGTTCATAGGTACCTAATTTTATAATTATTTTATAAAAAAATATTTTTAAGGTAACCGGTAACCAATATCGTATTTATGGGATATGAAAGCCTAATATAAGAAATTCTGAAACATTATTGGTATTTAAAAAACGTGTTGGAGATAATTTCTTTGCATTGTTAATTAATATATATTATTTTATTATAGCAGTATTACATACATGTAGCTATTTATGTATTATTTTTATTTATAGTATCATTTAATATAATTCACGTAACATTTTGTACATTATTTACAGTAGTATTAGTATTGTACGTACTAAGTTTGCCTTTTTAATATATTTTCCTTTTTGGGTCTACTGGAAGATCTTTCAGCAAATTATGGAATAAGTAGAACCTTTGTACAAACTCACTATAAGACTGTTTCTGTATCTTGTTGTGTGTACACTGCTAGGACGAAGTTGCTTCAGAATGCACCATTGACACGTGCCATACACTACGTTAATATCATCTCACAGGATATTGACATATTTACATGTAGTCAGACGAAGTTCACAATTGCAGCATACAAATGCGTTGAAAATTGTAATATTTTTTTTAATTAGTATTTTATTTTAGAATCATGTTAATATTATTATTCATTATTTTATAGTCATTATTCATTAGTAATTAGTTTTCTTATATTTAGGTTAGTTATAGCATCGCATTGGTTAATATAACTGTAATGATGTTATAATTATGAAATAAATAAATAAAAATAAATAAATAAATAAATACAAATAAAAAAATATTGACCGCCTTAGTGGCAAACTCGTAGGTATAGGAGTTTCTTAGAGTAACTTACGAGGCGACAGAGAGAAATGAAACAGAAAACAGGAATTGGGCAGCAGCATGTGTCTGAATATAGTCCAAAATAATAAAACACCTATTGCGAACCCGCCTGCCATTCGTGGCAACTATGGCAAGTATCCCCCCTTAGGAGGCAATTTATGGCGGAGGCCTATGTTCATCAGAGGCTGTTGATAGGTTGTAATCAATGAATGAATGATAAGTGCTCACAAGAAGGAGTTTATTTTTACAGTTATTTGGATTTTTTTTATAGAATAAGGGTGACAAACACCTGATAAGTGGTTGCTGTGGCTCCTAGACATTTACATCTATCTTCGTTTGCTAATTAAAATGCAGATGCGTTGTCAGCCGTGAGGACTAAGAGAGAATGCCTCCTTTCCAGTAAAATAGGTCTCCGGTTCTCTACACTCACCATACGCAACACAGCAGCCTTAAGCTGCTATTTTACGCTGGTATTCTATGAGAGCGTGATCCTTCCCTGGTCGAGCCGAACCATTCCTGCTACAAATATACTATAATATAGCTGCAGCATGGCTCTACCACGTAAAAAAATTTGGAAATGAAAGTTTGTCTCATGATTTCTAATATTAGGCCCTTACATATGAAATTAGCGTTTTAACGTACTGACCAATTTGATCTGAAATATCTTCTCTTTGGTTAAGAATTCTAAATTCAAATTTATAAATTCATTTAGCTGGTGCATTTGAGTTTTGAAAACAGTCATTCAATTGTTTTTTTCTCATTATTTTTTTCTTTGTCGTCGCTTATTACCGCACAATGGAGAACATGAAATATCGGTATATTTACGAGTACTAGTTCTACCGTGGCACTAGTGCTGCAGACACAGCTCGAAGGATTAATGATGTGTACGGCGCTGGTGTCGCAAAAGAAAGCACGGTACGTTTTTGGTTTCAACGTTTTCGTTCTGGAAATTTCGACCTTCAGAACCAACCCCGTGGACGGCCGGAGACCAAAGTGGAAAATGAAGAATTAAAGGCTCTTGTGGAAGCGGATCCATCATAAAGCACTTCAGAGGTGGCTGCAGGATTCGGGGTAAGTGATAAAACTTTATTAATCCATTTGAAGCAAATCGGGAAAGTAAAAGGAATTGAACGATGAATTGAGTGAATCGAACTTGCAAACACGCGTCGACTGCTGTGTTACTTTGCTCAACCGACACAATAATGAAGGGATTTTAAATCGAATCATTACTTGTGATAAAAAGTGGATACTGTACGATAATCGGAAGCGCTTTTTGCAATGGCTGATCCCTGGAGACCCAGCTAAATTCTGCCCTAAACGAAAATTGACTCAGAAAAAGTTACTTGTGAGTGTTTGGTGGACTAGCGCCGGTGTCGTTCACTACAGCTTTCTAAAATCTGGCCAAACGATTACGGCAGATATCTATTGTCAGCAATTGCAACCCGTGAAGGAAGAACTAGCTGCTAAACAACCGAGATTGGTCAATCGCTCTAGGCCACTTCTGCTTCACGACAACGCAAGACCACACACTGCACAACAAACAACCACTAAGTTAGATGAGCTACAATTGGAATGTCTGCGACATCCACCGTACTCCCCGGATCTTGCTCCAACAGATTACCATTTTTTTCGGAATTTGGACAACTTCTTACAAGGAAAAAAATTCAACTCCGATGCGGCAGTCCAAACCACCTTCAAAGAGTTTATTGATTCTCGCCCCCATGGTTTTTTTTTTAGTAAAGGGTTCAATGGACTACCTATGAGATGGCAAAAGTGCATAGATAACAAAGGTGCATACTTTTATTAATTAAATATATTTTACAAAAAAAATTACTTTATATTCCTCCCGTACAAAACGCCAATTTCATATGTAAGGACCTATTATTTACGCGAACACTGTACACTGAATAAACTATTTTAGGTATTTCATCGCGTTAGATTAGCTTTTTTTTTTAATTACCCGATGTGATAAATTCATTTAAGCACTCGTTGTCACCAAGGTCCCAATGTAAAAGTTCAAATCTTTGCGATCTGATTGCCCGCGCCATTAACATTTGATAGACCACAAATCCTCACAAAAGAACACTGACCAAGGTTGATTTGCGAGGATATTGGAATAAAGATCATCATAACTTCAATAGAGGTAATGGCTGGGTGCTACCATTTGCTTGGGATCCTATATTTAATAAAATTTAATCACAACCCAAGCAAGACACTGCACGACTTCAAGACTGTGTAAATCAGACTAAAATTAAAAATTAATTATTTTTAAGTTGAAGGCTCAGGGCTAAGCGCTCGCTGTAAATTTCACAGTACGCGAGCAATCAGGGTTCGATCCCCGCCAGCATTAATGAAATTATTAATTGCAATTTTAAGAGCTGATTTACCACGTGTCCGGCGGTTAAGGAAAATATCGTGAGAAAACTTGCATGTCTGAGAAATAACAAAAAAAATTTCGAAGACATGTGAAGTTCACCGACAGATATATGATACAACGATCATTTTGATAGATGATACAACGCATTGGGGCAGCGCGGCGGATTTCTTTGCCCTAAAATCCCTCTCATTTCTGAGAGGGATTTTAGGGCAAAGAAGTTTTTAAAAACCCTCTCAGAAATGAGAGGGTTTTTAAAAGTTGGACGTACGAGTATATAGGCTGTAACTTTAACCAACTGTTGAGGGCAGTCGTGATTAATTATGACTGAGATTTTGAAAACCTCAGTCCACCCGTGAACATGGGTATTGCAAAGTATTAAGGTTAGGAATATAAAAAATAAGCTAATTAAATTCGATAAAATCCGTAAAAACTAGTTTAAAATGAAAATTGTCTATGGTATGGTGGCGACGTAGAGTCAGGGATGAGCAGAGCCACAGTTTGCACACCCCTGCTCGGTAGGCGGCGTTATAACTAATGTGTATACTGTTTCGTGTAAACTGTACTGAAGATTAGACGTTCAGTCACGAACTGGGTCATCATCATCGACAATCGACATTTTATATACTCGTAGCTTGCGGCTCTTCCGGACTGAGTCCGATGAAACTGTAAAGTCAGGCGACTTACAGCACTAACATCTCAACAAAAAGTCGTGGAGAGCATTAGACGGCAATTGACAACACGTAGTTAGGTAACCTAGTACAAACGGCCGCTTCTTCTTAGGTTTCTTCTTAGGACAAACGAGCACACAGTCCACCTGATGGTAAGTGGTTGCTGGGGCCCATAGACATCTACATCTATCATCGTTTGCGAATAAAAATGCAGATGCGTTGTCAGCCTTGAGGACTAAGATGGAATGCATCATTTCCAGTAATAAGGGTCTCCGGTCAATCACCATACGAAACATAGCATCATTAAGCTGCTATTTTACGCTGGTATTCTGTGAGAGCGTGATCCTTCCCCGGTCGAGCCGACCCATTCGTGCTACAACTGTACTATATAGCTACAGCTTGGCTCTACCACGTTACAAAAAGTCTTCCCAGCGTGTTTTTTTCAAGCACGCCGTATGTTACGTTTTGCTGCACACATGAACACAGGCACTCAGTTTCTCCACTAAATGTGTGTTTGCCGTAAAGTTGTGTCCTTTAAATTTTTATTGATTTGATACATGACGATGACGTGATGATTAGTTGTTTTATTGCCAGACCTAAAATATCGGAACCCGCTGGCTGGGACGAGTTCTTTTACAGATTTTGTAAAACTATTGTTGACTTTTAAAATAATTTTCTCTTTTAAATCATGTTAACTGTTTGAATAGACGGACAATTCGAATAATTAAAATATATTTTAAGAATAAACAAGAACAGAGCTTGAAATTTAAATACTTGTGTTGTGTACCTTACAAAAAGAAACGAAAGATTTTTGGATCTATGTTAGTATATGTTCTATGATAGTTACTTTCGTATAAAAATAGTTTATTAAAAGTTTGTTAAAAGTACATTACCTCATATATTTTAGGTTGTTTATACACTTCCCATAAATTTGGCGTCTCTTGCAACTTCGCTGTAAAGTATAAGAAGTCCTTTGTGTTCGGATCCTGTGAAGTGATAAGAAATTTATGCTTTGGACAATTTTAAACCAACAGGTGCAGAGTAATGGGTCCGGTGTGTAAGTCCTCGTAAAATTAAATAGGTATTATTACGGAGGGCCCCTCTGATTACAACAACGACGAATTAGAGGTACCAGATAGATATTATTTTAATATAAACAAGATTAGTAGTACTATAATATAATAATAATTTAAACATATAGATTAGGAAGATTCAAAATAGGAGTGGGCTGTAACAGGTAAAATCGCATATCTGTTCCGCCTGTTCCAGCTTCACATCCATCTCTATTTTGTAACAAGTCTTGGTAGGTACTTACTAATTCTTTCTACCTAAGGTGTTGAACCTATGCGAGAAAAGGAAAGACCTTTGACGAGTAACGGGGGTCACGGTAACATTTTTTATCTTATTCTAACAAAGGTAACTTTTTATAGGATAAGAGTAACAAACGAGCACACAGTCCATCTGATTGTAAGTGGTTGCTGTGGCCCATAGACATCTACATCTATCCACAATTACGAATCAAAATGTAGATGCGTTGTAACCTGTGAGGACGAAGATGGAACGTCTCGTTTCCAGTAAAAAGGGTCTCCGGTTCTCTGCACTCACCATACGGACACGGCAGCGTTAAGCTGCTATTTTAGGCTGGTATTCTGTGAGAACGTGGTCCTTCCCCGTTCGAGCCGACCCATTCGTGCTACAACTATACCTGTAATATAGCTGCAGCATGGCTCTAGCTATTTATTAAATGAGAACGAATGTAACTATCATATATATGAATAAAGAAAAACTTGTGACTGTCTTTTAGTGGATTTGTTATCTCGTGGAATAGGAGCTGTTCTTTTAGTTTGTTTGTCACAGTTACAATCTGCTATTTTAAGATACCTGTTGTTTTATCTGTTACGATAAATACACTTCGCTCCTAATTCAAAAGAGAGTATGCTGTCCTCTGACTCTTTGAGATCAAAAATAAATTTTAACTAAATTTGTCTATGACCTCAATTTGTAGTATTGTGGGTAATAAGACGTTTTTGAGTGTCTCGTTAGTTTAGTGGTGGTAAGTGGTGGTAAACGCGATTGCTGATCATGTGGGTTTTTTCTCGAGTCGAGACAAAATCATTTATTTTCAGTGGCAGGCCGGAGTCAGGAATTTAGCGAAGTTTCACACCTGCGTCTCGAAAAAAAACTGTTGGTCCTGCCCCTCATCACTCTCCGGTCGTATCGGATTGCTGTCCCGTCGCACTATTAGAATGAGGGAATAGTCAACCTGTGCACACACTCGTCAACTATAATTATGTCCTTAGCAAATCGCTTGCTCCATTAAATCTGGCCGCCGTGACCAAGGACATTAATATTACTGTAAGAGATTACATATAACGTTGGATAACATGTCAATATTTGCGGTTTTTAATCGAGTTCGTGATCCTCGACTCGGTACCTACACATTTTAGCACATAAACTACGTCTAACAATACCCACTTCAACTTCAAATCAAAGTTACTACTGAATGAACCACGGGGGAGACCGGACATGAAAATAATAAAAAAGTAATGGTGGAAACCAATCGAAATGAACAAATGGTGGAGCGTCATGGTTGGTCATAAGCTCATCCACAATATTGACTCATTCGCACCAAATTGGTAAAATTAAAAAGAAACTGCAGGGATGAGTGCCTCATGAATTATCTGATGTGCATAATGGAACACGTACTGAAGCTTGCCTTGATTTGATGAGTATGAGTAGGTACAGTAATGAAAGAGGTTGAACAGACTTGTGACGTGTGATGAAAAGTGAATTCTATACGATAGTTACAATCGAAAAAGACAATGGCTAAAATCAAGCTACAATCAACAATGCCCTAAAGCGAAGATCACCAATAGATAACTAATGTTAATTGTTTGGTGGTCACTCCATGGTGTTTTACAATAGCCTTTTGAGATCCGAGTATCAACAACAGCAGATGCCTAATGTTTTCACAATGACATGTGTTATCCGCCATAATCGCTCGTCCGAGCCCTAGCCGGTTACCATTTTTTCCGTCCTTTGGACAATTTCCTGCAAGGATAAAATTTTGCTCTCAGGAAGCGGTACAAAATGCCGTCATAGACATTGTATAGTCCAGATCCCCATAGTTCTGCGGGTGTAAATATAATCTTGCCTCGAGAACTCGAGATAGCAGACATAGATATAGACATAGTTAATCCGATTAAATAAATGATATATTTTTAATTTGAAAAAAGGTGTTTGAAGTTTTCAATATAAAATAGTAATTTCTTACTTTACCTCCTCATATTTTAAGTTTAATACTTTCTTTAAAATAACAGTACCTGCCGGTGAAAAGCATAGTTGCGAAGTTGTCTAGGGTCCAGAGGACTACTGGCGTAGCTTACGCAAAGACCAGCTACTTGATTATCTTCAGTCTTCACAAATAAAGAGTTTCCTGAAATATAGGCACTAAGTTCAAAGATAGCAGTATAATATTACAAAGTTCACATTATTTCGTGAAATTTTTTATTCAATTCGATAAAGAGTAAATTACTTTTATTTCATTTAGTAGGCAAATATCAATTACAAGTTATTTCAAATTATAAGGATAAAAGAATTAAATAAAAATTTAAAATTTTAGGAATAATGAAAACTTGAACAAGCGCCATCTTGTTGATGTAAGACGAACTAATGTTTTTTCTGACATTTTCTTTAAACTTTAATCTTACTTGAAGATGGCACCACATATTTATAACTGTAAAGCTCCAGTTTCGTAAGATTAAGGTGTTTACGGTCACGTGGAAAGTTCCATCACCGCTACGGCCATATTTTTTAAAATAAAAAGTTAGAAACCTATCAGATGCAGGCGAGAATAGACGATCTTCATTTTTTTATCGGATAAGGGTAACAAACGAGCACACAATCCACCTAATGGTAAATGTTTGCCCATAGACGTCTACATCTATCCTCGATGAGGAATCCAAATGCAGATGCGTTGTGTGAGGACATGAGGAACAAGATGGAATGCCTCGTTTCCAATAAAAAGGGTCTCCGGCTCTCCACACTCACTATACGAAACAGCAGCGTTAAGCTGCTATTTTACGCTGGCATTCTGTGAGAGCGTGGTTCTTCCCCGGTAGAGCCGACCCATTCGTGATTCAAATATACCAGTATAATAGCTGCAGCATGACTCTACCACGTAAGCGTTAATATTTTTATTAGCATAAATAATTAACTTGGAGGATGAGTAGTCCTCAGAAGAGGAAAATAATCCTATGGAGAAAGATGGGTTATTCAAAACTGGTGCTCAAAGCGTGGTACAGAAGGTGCATTTTTGAGAATGTAGTGCGGCATGTTTACGGTTATTACGGCGCCACGATCTGACATCGCTTACAACTTTACAAAGCGCAAGTTCGGCCTCACATGGAATGCTGTTTTCATCTCTGGGCCGGGGCACCCCAGTGCCAGCTCCTTCCACTTGACCGCATCCAGCGCAGAGCTGTTCGAATCATCGACGATCGAGTTCTCTTGATCGGCTCCATACACTGGCGCTGCGTAGGGATGTTGCATCCCTTTGCATTTTCTATCGAATCTACCACGGGCAGTGCTCTGAGGAATTGTTCGGATTAATTCCAGCCGCCAAATTTTACGAACGTACATCGTGTCAAAATTCGCGATACCATCCTCACCATCTGGTTGCTTGGTAGTCCACGACTGTGCGTTTTACTAGGAGTTTTCTTCCTCGTACAACTTCTCTGTGGAATTGTTTACCACCGGCGATTTATCCGGACCGATACGACTTAGGGACCTTCAAGAAAAGAGCTTACACCTTTCTGAAAGGCCAGCAACGCATCTGCGATTCCCCATGGTGTTGCAGTTGTTCCTACCATCAGGTGAGCCGAAAGCTCGTTTGCTCCCTCTACTATAAATAAATAATAATTCGGATTCGTATAGATTTCGACGAGATACGCTGATAGATAAGAATAAAATTTTTCAATATCTCGCTTAGTTTCTGAGATGTCGACAGTTAAAAATTACTTTTGTTACACCGGTGCGGCGCCGTAGGAACCGTAGAAGCCCCTTTAGTGCGTCGCCATCTACGGTGCAAAGATGAGAAACTTAGGGAATACTTTAGCCTGACACAAGTTTTATTTGATTATATACTTAATCGCATAAGAATTGATTTATGTTACAAACAATACCACAGACACAAAAAGCCAAAACTACCGATTATCAAGAGCTTGAAGAACTACTGAAAATACGTTTGGGGTTGTATGTGTTTACTTCAGATTATTTTTCATACATATTGCTACTGCTCCAGCAGTGACAGACAAACTGGTAATGTTTGCATATATATGCATAGTTCCGAACATGAAGCACAGCCTTGAGCTACCTACATCAATCGACTTTCATCTCGTCTTACTAGCTTGTCACCTCTTCCAGCTCATCACCTCTTTTAGTAGAGAGCAGTCCTATACTACGCTTGCCAGTACCTCTAGAACCTTTCTCTTTCTCTTTTGGATCAATCGACTTTCATCATATCTGACCCGCTCATCACCTCTTTTAGTAGAGAGCAGTCCTATACTACGCTTGCCAGTACCTCTAGAACCTTTATTTTTCTCTTTTGTATCAATCGACTTTAATCATGTCTGACCCCCTCATAACCTCTTTTAGTAAGGAGCAGTCCTATACTACGCTTGCCAGTACCTCTAGAACCTTTCTTTTTCTCTTTTGCATCAATCGACCCTCATCATGTCTGACCAGCTCGTCACCTCTTCTAGTAGAGAGCAGTCCTATACTGCACTTGCCAGTACCTCTAGAACCTTTCTTTTTCTCTTTTGTATCAATCGACTTTCATCATGTCTGACCAGCTTATCACCTCTTTTAGTAGAGAGCAGTCCTATACTACGCTTGCCAGTACCTCTAGAACCTTTCTTTTTCTCTTTTGCATCAATCGACCCTCATCATGTCTGACCAGCTCGTCACCTCTTCTAGTAGAGAGCAGTCCTATACTGCACTTGCCAGTACCTCTAGAACCTTTGCTCGGTTGTTAGAAACATGCAGAAAGCCTTTTGAGATTACTAAACCGTTGTATGCTACTTTGGTTGCGCTGCGGATATCATCGTTACGGATTACATCACGTAGAGATACTTCGAGCATAGACCTCTTCATAACTCGCTGACCGATCTTAAGCTTTCATACTCCCAGCTGTGAAGGACCACGTCTCGCTTCCAGTTGTCATCACTGACAACAAACACTGGTATATTTAGCGTGAATTTTTTCATACCGTCATGGTAAGTAACACTGCAGCCTAAGGGAAACTGCAACCAACCTCAAGCTAAAACGCAACATTTGCATTTCAATTTGGAGGCTAGTATGAATTAATACTTCACAACAGTGCACTCATCCAGAGGCTATCACCCAGAGAGGTAGAGACTACGGTTTTCCATTTGACACGATCCTGACACATCTTTCTCTCTCGCGTCTTTTATATCCATATGCGTAACTACGAGTACGCATACATGCTTGACGCTTAAGGCTTAGACCTATCTTCAATATATCGCCAAGTTCACTGAGTAAACTTCCGTTTGGGGCGTCTCTTACCGCCTCTGCCACTCACTTACATTGGAGAGGATAAATAAAAAAATATACAGAGTAAACAGCAAACGAAACGGTAGTTCAGTGGCTAAAGCAAATTAAAACAAAGTGACATTGTGGGCCGCTGCTTAGATTTCTGCACGGATGAAGTATTTGTATGGCCTACAATTAATTGTACCAGGATGAATGTAGAAGCATTTTACATACATAAATTTATCTATTTGCAATGTTTGGAAAAAGTTCTAAATATGTATGTAAAATGCTTTTACGAATCAGGAAAAATTCCTTGTGTTTTTATTCTTCAAAAATACTAGAGCGATTGCTACCTACGGTTTTCTAAGTATAAAGCGGGAACTACCGAGTAAAACATATTTATTATTTATAAAAAAAAGTATACATAGTACCTTGTCGAAGCAAACTAATGAAGTACTCGTCAATGGCGCGGTCATTGCTAAGATTCATCCCACGAGCACGCACCAGTACATGCTCGATAAGGAAATGTTGCTTAAGAATTTCCACTGCTTTCTCGTGTTCCGCGCTGCTTACCGCCGTTATCGAAAAGTTTTCTGGCTAGTAAATATTTCCCTTTTATTACATTTGTTAACGTAAAATAGGACAAACACGTATCTTGCATCTTTGACGTTGTTACAATTTTTTAATCTGCGACTATTATAAATTTGAGATGGCTTAAAACCAGTTCTATTATATAATATGTATCCAGATCTTACGGCTTACGGGCAAACGAGCATGCGGCTCACCTGACTCTCTAAGCAGCCTATACACGAGGGATTCCCAAACTATTTTGGGCAAAAGAAAAGACTCCTTTTCCAAAACGAACTGATACCTCTTTGAGACTTCCATAGCCTAATTGACTTGCCGAGTTTTCATTTCATCTTGTGCACGCTTATTGAGGTTTTTAAAAGTATAATAATGATTCTTATTACTAAAATATTAGTCATTCTTATAACAAGTTGGTACACGTAACACAACTTATACAGTATCTTGAAAGTTTCAAATAAGAACTTGTGTTAATTAATAGAGGTCGATTTTTAGACCTCGTCAAGCTCCAAAATCAGTTTTCGTTTATGTCGACCCCTGCGAAACTGTTTCCGACCCCAAGGGCTCAATATCGACCACTTTAGGAATCAATGTATATGTTACTGTAAAAGTTCGTATTTAGGTAAATCTTAAGTTTTTCTTACAAATCTTAGCATTTGCCAACATGAGTTGGTAAATGTAAGGTTTAGTATAAATTGAGACGATTTTTTGGGCTTTTACCATTAGAGTTTAGTACATGCTAGATTTTACCAATAACTAAAAAAGAATAAAAGTAGAAAGTATAAAACATTGAATAATGTTATCTACTAAATTTTAAAATAAATTTATGATGAGTTTTTAAAGTAAAATACTGTGAAATAAACTGTAAAATAATTCTGTTTTTCTCACAAACATAATACCTGCGTTGGCTAAGTTTGCTATTCATTAATTTTTTATCATCATCATCATTAGAGCCCTTCACAAGTCCACAGCTGAACATAGGCCTCCCACAAGGCACGGTCCTGAGCTAATTGCATTCATTGCCTTCCTGCATGTCTTACCAGGTTGACTCTGCATCTAGTGGAGGGCCATCCTACATTTCGTCTGCCACTGGAGAACCTTTCTTCTCCATCGGCTGTCGATTCTTCGAGATATATGGCCGGCCAATTGCCACTTCAGCTTACTAATCAGCGTTATTGGGCAATGCCTTTTGTGACTCTGTGAATTACATTTTCGGTGGTAATATATTGTTACGAATTTAGCTTCATCTTCATTAAAAAACCAAACATTGCTTCGTATGAGGTTCTTTTGACTCACTCATTACATGCTCAATTTTTCATTGCCTGGATGAATTTTAAGCTCTCTAGAGATCTCTCTCTAGCTCTATCGAGATAAAAGTTAATGTCTTTATTACTAGTCACGAGTTTGTCTTGTACATTTTGTTTCATAAATACTTTTAGACAACTTCCCGTTTGGGGGAGGGGAGGGGGATGAGAGGAGGTGCTTCGAACACTTATAGACATGAATATTTTTCAACATTTTACGTGCCTATGAGGTAAAACCTAAGATTTACTACGTTGAAGCTAGTAAATGTCAGAAATTAACGATTACCACAGAATAGTTCGGACTTTTACCATTAAGACTTGGCAAATCTTAGGTTTTACTGGAAAATCTTAGGATTTGCCGTAGTTCGAGCTTTTACAGTAACATATACACGGTTAAATTATATGCTTTGTATACTTATCTAAATATTTTTTTTAAATTATTTATTAAGAACATAAGCATGCTAAGAGAACGCATATTATGTAAACATAAACATAAACATAAACACTCACGCCTGTCACCCAGAGGGGTAGGCAGAGATTATGGACTTCCATTTGGCATGATCCTGACACACCTCTCTTGCTTCCTCCACATCCATATACCTACGCATACACGCTCGTCGGTTAAAGGTACTCTTGATTTGGCCCATTTTTAATATATCGCCAATTTGGTCGATAAACTTTAGCCTAGGGCGACCCTTCCCGACTATGCCGTTCACCTCTGCAACATAAATTTGCTTTGTCACTCTTTCCTCATTCATTCTACTACATGGCCAAACCACCGAAGCATTCCTTTCTTAATCTTGGTCACAACATCATCTTGCAAACCACACTCTTCTCTTATTAAACAATTTCTCACTCTGTCATTCAGCTTCATCCCTAACATATCCTCCTTAATGACCGCATTTCTACAGCATTTATTATACTCTCATGCTTCTTCTGCCACACCCAACTTTCACTACCATACATTAAAGTAGGCACTAACACAGCATTGTGAATTGCCATACGTGCCTTTTTGGACACATTCTGACTTTTCACAATAGAGTGTAGAGCCCCATTCACTCTATTTCCTGCATTCACTCGTCGTTCTATATCCTTATCATATCTACCATCCCTGCTAAACACACATCCCAAATATACAAACTCATCTACTTGCTCTACCAACTCCCCTTCTATTCTTATTTCACATATCGTTTTACTTTCTTCTCTTTCAAAAACCATAACTTTCGTCTTACTTGCGTTCACTTTCATTCCCTTTTCTTTTAATGTCCTGTTCATTAATGTAACCATCATTTGCAACTCGGCTGCCGACGACGCAAGTATGACTTGATCATCGGCGTACAAAAGGCATTTGACGGTTAACTCACCCATTCTTAACCCGCATTCTTCTACTTTCAAATTTTCCAAACAACTGTCCATAAATAGGTTGAACAACCACGGGGAAGCCACACAGCCCTGTCTGACACCTTTATGGATGTCAAACCAGTCCGAGTAGGCCCCGTTGATCCTGACACAAGCACTAGAGTTCCTATATAGAGACTTCAATGCCTGTATCAGACCAGCACTCAACCCAAATGAGTTCAGTGTTTGCCATAACACATCCCTGTCCACTCTGTCATAAGCCTTCTCCAAGTCCATGAACGCACAAAAAACTTTTTGGTTTTTGGCCAAAAACTTCTCGGCGATCATGCGCATGGAAAAGACCTGATCCGTACATCCCATTCCCTTTCTAAATCCCGCTTGCACATCCCAAATTTTTCCGTCAGTTTCTTTCATAACTCTTTCAATTAGTACCTTAGCATACAGTTTTCCCACAATGCTAAGAAGGCTGATACCACGGTAGTTTTTACAGTCCTGCTGTGATCCTTTTCCCTTATATATTGGGACTATCACGGCTTTGCACCAGTCTCCCGGTACCCGCTTAAGTTCCCAACATAAATTAAACAAGGTGTACAGCAGGTCTGCCACCACTCCTTCTCCAGCCCTTAGCATTTCGAGAGATACTCTATCATAACCGGCTGCCTTACCTGTTTTCATACTTTTCATTGCTTTCATTATTTCATCTATACTTATATCTCTATCTATTTCCTCTTCTTTCGGAATTTCTATTTCATTTAATTCAAACGTCTCATCACTCATAAACACGCTTTCAAAGTATTCCTTCCATCTCCTTAAACTCAAAACTTCGTCATTCAGAATACAGCCATTCTGGTCTCGTATAGCATTCATTCTAGGCTGTTGTGAATGTCCCCTGGTAGTTCTTACGAGTTTCCAGAACATTTTAATGTTTGCCTGGAAGTTATCCGATATTCTTCTATCATTCTTATCCGTTCTTTCTTGCTTTTTCCTTTCAACTACTTCTTTTACTCTCTTATTTAGGTGTCTAAAAACTGCCTTTTTCCTTTCAATATCATCATTCATACTGCTAGAATTACTAGCCTTGGTTGCTAGTAAATCTAGCCATGCTTTCTTCTTTGCTTTAACTTCCATCCGTAACTCATCATCCCACCATAACGTGTTATTTTTCCTTTCATTCGTTCTCTTACTTACACCACATACTTCGGTAGCTGCATCCACTAAACCTTTCTTGACATTATACCACACAGTCTCCAAGTCTAAATCATTCATGCACAATTTAGCCATACCACTTATATTTTCTCTCAATCTACATTTGAACTTATATTATGTATGTCAATTATTTATGTATTCATTACTATAAAAGTCAACTTCTGAACATAGACCTTCCCCGTAGAGTGCCTCTTATGGGGTTTTGCCACAGTTGCCATGCTTGGCTGACAGGCGGGTTGGCAATCGCAGTTTTTATAATTTTGAGCTGTAATCAGGAAAATGATGCTGCCCATCTCCTGTTTCAGTTTCTTCCTGTTGCCTCTTACTCAGTCACTACACGGTTAATGTGTATTTAACTAGTTCGTCAGTGGCGCTGCTTGCCACGATCGCATGTCAAGTGTTATAATTAAAAAAAAAAAAACTGAAAATTTTAATACTGAAAAATGTGTTTACGGTATGGCAAAGAATGTAATGATCTGCTACGACCGTTGCAAGTGTTCGTTTCATCATTGTCGTATGTGATTTGTGTTATGTGTACAGTAATATATAGATATCGATGCCTATAGTAAATGAAAAATCGTCTACTTGTGAGTTTCTTGCTGCTTCTTCTCGCAAGGTCTCCCGCAGTAGGGAATTGTTGAAGCAATGGCGTAGCTTTTAACTTTCAAATAGGGCTTTGTCACAAGAAAATTTGAAAAAAAAATTTAGACTTTGACTTTAACTTTAACTTTTTCTTCTCTTCTTTCTCTACCCAAAATAATCTGCTACTGGATATAGGGCTATCTGATTGCCTTTATTGCCAGTGTTCTAGTAGATTGCGGTCGAAGTACCAGATCTCTCTCACCTTTGACGTTGTTTCCCGTGGCTGGTATGGACAATTTACATCTGGCGTAATATATGAGTATGACGGCACAATACCGCATATTATAGACAATTTTTCCTTGCCTTTGCCAAGTCGCCTCTCACGAAACACACGAGAAGAAATCGAGTGAAATTTTCTCTAACGCCGCGACCACACGGCAAATTAAATCCATAGAGTGGAGTACTAGAGTAACTAATAATCGATGGAGTAAATGAAGAAAAAACAAATGATTTTTTAACGCGGTGTTAAAGAAAATATTGCCAAAATAAAAAATAAAACGTCAACGAAAACGAATAGACCACAATTATCAATAAAAAGTATAATGATATCTACAATTGTAAATAAAACCACGCGGCAGCTTTTGCTGTCGCACAGATGGGCCAGCTCGAACCGGGGTGGTACCACGACCTCACAAAAAACCAGCGTGAAGTAGCGGTTTACCTCTGCGTTTTGCTTGGTGAGTGCAGGTGGCCGGAGGCCCTTTTTACTGGAAATGAGGCATTCCATCTTAGTCCTCACGGGTGACAAATGTAGATGACATTTTGATTTGTAATAGAGGATAGATGTAGATGTCTATGGGCCGCAGCAACCACTTACCATCAGGTGGAATGTGTGCTCGTTTGTCAACCCTATCCTATATAAAAAAAGTTACTACTTACTATAAGGCTGTAAAATAAATAAATATACGAAGGAATGTAGGCTCTAGTTTTTTTCTCAAGTACTCATCTGCACGTACGCATCCTAACTGACGGAGGAGGTTGTGACGATCGACTGAGGGCGAAAAATTATCAATAAACACTGCACCCAAATTGCATAGACTGATGGCAGGGAGCAATATTATTTATTTATTCGTTATTTTGCAGATAACATATTCTTACTAAAAGAGTTCTTTACAGTTGGAACACAGTCGTAATCGTTTGCACTTTGACCCAATATATTATCTACTTAACCTTTTTTATTACTTGTGCAAATAAAGTTTAAATATCTAATATACTATCAACGCGAGGATGCCATGTCTGCGCATTACAACCCGTCTTGCACAATGAGTCAAATAGGCAAATCTTTTAAGTAAGCTCTGGACTATCAATTTAACAACAAAACAAAAACATTTAAGAAATTACCTTCTCTTGGCGAGTTAAATCCTGAATACCAAAAATGCTATGACATTTTCTATTTTGAGCAAATCTGCTGGTTTTAAGAAATATAGGAAATATGAATTTTTTGATTGGTTGGACAAACATTTTAGGGTTTTACTTTCTACCCAGGTACTAAAATATATGTTGAAGACTATAATTTCAGTTATGTATAACGGTAGGTATGTAAAATATCTAAGTAAAAAATTAAAGTTATTTTTTGATTACTTTAGCATTTGACGTCTGACCAGCCTGACAGATTAAGGTCTTGTCTGCACTGCGACATTTCACCGCGCGACTTTTATTCTGACGTATTATATTCCATAATATGAATTACTCCTAGTAGGCACTGCGAATAAAATTTCGTACGATTTTTGTCAGATCGATGCAGTTCCCCGTTGAAAGACACGTCTAAAATTGAACAACGTAATTTTTTAAATTTACCTGATACTAAAGGAAAAGAAAGAAATAAAAAGAAAAAGGATGTCATGAACATTGGATGCACTAATTTACGGCCTTGAGACCTACGAAAGTATTTTCTACATAAGGCATCAAAGGCTGCGAAAATACAGTAAAAAGTTTTTCTTGTTAGTTGGGCTTGATAGTTACCTATAAAGATACGAATTGGACAAAAATAATTTTAGCTGGTAGAGCTATGCTGCAGCTATATTAGAAGTACAGTTGTCACACGAATGGTCGGGGAAGGACCACGCTCTCACAGAATACCAGCGTGGCGGCTTGACACTACTGTGTTTCGTATGGTGAGTGTAGAGAACCGGAGACCCATTTTGCTGGAAAAGAGGCATTTCATCCTAGTCCTGTCACCAGTCAGAACCAAGATATGAGCAATATAAAATATACAAAAAAATTAAAAAAAAATCTAAGATTTGTGAAATCCACCAACACATATTAGGGCAGCGCGGTGGACACTTCCTTGCCCTTAAACCCTCTCAGAAATAAAAGGAGGCCTGTATCCGGCAGTGGAACGTATATATAACTTTTTAAATTTAATTTAGTTGTAACTTTAACTATTTAACTTTAAGAAGATTTGAGCAAAATCTCAAATGACAATGCCAGAATATAATTTTGATATATTTTAAAAATTAAATAGAATTTTGCCCCACCTAAAAATGTGGTGTACACGTATGCTGTATGCGTCATTTTTTCTTGTTTTATTACTTAATCGAAATAATATAAGCTTGACAATTTCACTGCTGAACATAGATCTCCCACAAGGAATGACACAAAGCACGGTCCTGAGTCACCTGCATCATTGACTTCCTGCATTTTTTACCAGGTCACCCCACATTTCACCTACCGGTACAAGGCTGCCACTCGATAACCTTTTCTCCCCATCGGTTGTCGGTTCCTCGAGCTATATGGCCGGCCCATTGCCACTTCAGATTACTAATCCGTTGGGCTATGTCAGTCACTCTGGTTCTACTGCGGATATCCTCATTTCTAATTTTATCACACAGCGAAATGCCGAGCATCTCTCCATAGCTCGCTGAGCGAACTTGATCTTCCTCATACGGCCAGCAGTGAAGTACCACGTATTAGATCCATAAGTCATCACTGGCAACAGACACTACAATCTCGTTTTAAAGTTTTGAGGTATACCTGACGATGTGTTGTAATTTTTAGTCTTCAACAGGTAAGCGTGTGAATAGTGACTGCACATCAAAACTGACCATAGTTTCATTGTCTGTCAGATGTAGATCTTCATTCTCCTTAGAATCCTTTGTGTGTGCTCTTGTATGTCCCCTGAGCGGTGAAAGTATTTTCGCTATATGTTGAGCCAATCTGTAAGTTGGTGAATCGATTTGGATCACTAAGGGACACAGTGGAGCATTGGGCTTGTGTATTTTTGATAATCTATACAACTTGGCAACGTGGTTTGGCACACGTAAGTATTATCGATTTTACGTCCAGATTTAATTTTTTGGAGTTCTCCTTGTTTAAAAGGTCACTAGTAGTTTAAAGTATGTTATTTGTTTGGTCATTTTTAACCTTTTTATAATTGATTAAACATTAAATTAAACAGATCTGTCAAAACAAACGCTACCGCGTTTAATCTATGATCCGTGTTTGTGGTCAACAGTTGCGTTTTGTTTTGACGTTGTCACAGATGTTTGACATTTAATTTGGTGGTTAATTTTTGATATTTTTCAATATGTTTGTTTTTGAATTCGTTATATTTATTAATTTCTCGTTTCCCATTGTTGCCGATATATTCATGGAAGACTTTGAGGAGAAAGTCCTGCTTAGTTCTCCCGTAAATCCAAGATTCTTCAAGCGGTACGTAGACGATACTTTCACAATTCTACACTTAAAGTAACTGCCTTTTTAGACAATTCATAAATTCTAAAATTCAGTTCACAATGGAGTTACAGGCAAACAATGCTTTAGCTTTTCTAGATTTGTTAGTAATTCGGAATCCTGATAGATATTTCAACGGTGATTCTCATCACCATCCTTCACAGTTAGCTATTGTGGGTAAATCTTTGCTTCAGAGAACACGAGAGATGTGTGACAGTAAACACCTGGCTGCCAAGCTCCAACACGTCAAGCAAGTTTCGCACGACCACAAGCTTCGGATACCAAGCCTACGTCACAGTGAACGAGTGAGGCTGGCCACAGTCGAGCCAATGCCTGCTGTACTGTTATATGTCAGAGGTGTCACTGACAAGATTGGCTAGGCGTGCGTGCGCTAGCGTGCTTCCATTAAAATATACTTCAAACCACGAAAGAAAATTAACCACTTTTTACCATTAGTCAAGTGTAATGTTCCTCTGCAAGATGCAGGAGTGCACAAACTGGATTGCGAATGTGGTCTCTCTCATATAGGACAAACTAAAAGATCAATAATAACCCGCGTTAAAGAACACAGCTGTTGTGAAGAATCGACGCTCCGGGAAGTTTGCAGTCTGTGAATACGTACAAGATCCAGTAATTATATTAGATTTGATAGACCACAAATCTTCGCTAAAAACTAAGGTTGATTCGCGAGGCTATTGAAATAAAAAAACATCCTAATTTCAATACGGCTGGGTGCCACCATCTGCTTGGGATTCTACAATTAATAAAATTGAATCCCAACCCAAGTATACAACTGCAAGATTTCAAGATACTGTTGTAGATAGATTTTCTAGGGTTTTCAGGACGAATAAAAAACACGCTTGTTATCTTGTCAGGGAGGCAGCTGAAGGCAGGGCACAGCAGAGTTCCTGTTTTGCTTTGTTCTTCCTTTTTCTGGTAAGGCCCGAATGTCGAATGAATCCCCAGCCAATGGGTGCGATATTTATTCGTGTTTTTAGTGACTTTCTAGAAAGTTCTCTGCTTCACCCCCTCTGGCCATTATTCTTTATTTAATGTTTTTTATTAATTTACATATATTTCCAAATCAAGTCTTAGCTTACATTATGTTACTTACATTAATACATACGTGCGCACTCGGCGATGCTCGGTGTAGAAATGACAGCGCAATTTTTTGCGCCCAGAAGCAATGAAAAGTTCTACCCTCCGAGAAGCGGGGGAGGGAGGTGGTGAATGCTCTTAGCATACCACGACAGCCAGCTGCGTAATTATGTGGGACTCACTGGGAAACCTAAGTGCCTACCCACTAAGCACCACCTGTGAGACTGGCATTGGCTTGTGTGGCATTTCTGCCGAATCGGAAGCAACCCCCTTTAGAGAAAACGGGGCGCAGGACATCGCAAATTCGGGAGCAGCCTTTAAATACCACCTCGCTCCTCACTTCAGTTTTTTTTGTTCTTTATAAGTACGCCTTAGCTTACGCGCGCGACCCAGTGGAGCATCGGTACGTTCACATACATTGTTATGAATTTAGATATGACTTTACTTATGGCTTAATTATTCCTAAAATATATTATTCCTTTTTTAATCTTTCAATAAAACACAACCAAATATAACACTTTATTTATTAAGTTTATTAAGGGTTATTCTACTACTAAAGAGTACATGCTTAGATTATATAAAATGGCCAAATTCCTGGTAGGGCATCGTGAATTGAAGCCAAATACAAGTAGTCAATATTGACTACTTCGTTCGACCCCGCGTCAAACGCCAAGGAACGTTCCCCGCTTAAACACGTCACGAGTCGGTGGTTTGATTTTGAAAAAATGACAGTTGTGTTGTGAAATCGTGTAAAAATTTCATTTAAAAAATAAAAATATCGCTTAACATGTTATTATAAGTAAGTATTCATTTCACTTTGTATTTCTTTGTTACAGACTTTTAAAATATGAAAACGAAAAAAATTATAATTTAACATTAATGTGACGCCACAATTGTTGAGTGTTGCAAGGGCATGAAATCTATTTACGACCTTCGTATCGAAACGTATAAAATTCTTCAACTCGAATCTTCGTCATTCAGAATATAGCCATTCTAGTCTCGTATAGCATTCATTCTAGGCTGTTTTGAATGTCCCTTGGCAGTTTTTACGAGTTTCCAGAACATTTTAATATTTGCTTGGAAGTTATCCGATATTTTTTTATCATTGTCATCTGTTCTTTCTTGCTTTTTCCTTTCAACTACTTCTTTTACTCCCTTAGTTAGATGTTTAAAGACTGCCTTTTTTCTTTCAATATCATCATGCATACCGCTAGAATTACTAGCCTTGGTTGCTAGTAAATCTAGCCATACTTTCTTCTTTGCTTCAACTTCCATCCGTACCTCATCATCCCACCATAACGTGTTATTTTTCCTTTCATTCGTTCTCTTACTTACACCACATACTTCGGTAGCGTAGAATAAAATAGTTTGTAAAAATTACAATACATTAAGTATTATTTTAAAAGCTGATAAACGTTTTGTTATTTAATTTTATCCTCCTGTGCCAACCCTACAAAATATTTTAAAATTTCGACAGCTCCTTAGAAGCTTTGCCTCTGTACGGTTTCTTTACTCATGTATTGTATAAATAATATTGCTCCCTGCATAAATCTATGCAATTTGGGTGCTGTGTTTATTGATAATTTTTCGCCCTCAGTCGATCGCCACAACCTCCTCCATCAGTTAGGATGCGTACGTGCAGATGAGTGTTTGAAGAAAACATTCCTTCCTAAATTTATTTATTTTACAGC